AAAAAAAAAACCCTCCCCCCCCCCCTCTTCTCCATTGTACTTCCTCAAAACAGTGATTGGAAAATGTAACTCAATCCGTATTCTTATACCATGAGGTGAAATAGGCAAGAAGACCTTCCCGGAACAATGACCAGAAATTCAATGTTGAGGGACTCATTATCCAAACTCTGATATTAAGAAGAAAAAAGAAGAGAAGATATATTTTTATAAAATGACCGAAAACTTATGTTTAGAGGAAGACTTAATACCCAAATACTGATCCCCTGAAGACAGAAGAAGCTTTAGAAAATGTTCTACTTGTAAATTCACCTGAAAAATGGTCGGGTTGAAGGAGAGATGATGCCACAAAAATAATCACCAAAAGCTGGCATGGTGTCATCAGAAATAAAACTAATGCCATTAGAATGGCAACTGAAAAAGTCAACTATATTATGGAAAAAGGAAAAACTTGGGCAATTATTCCTTCTGCCAATAAATGGAAGCTACTTTTTTTTTTTTTTAACCGAGAAATCCGTCTGTGACCCGCCTTTTGGACCAATCACAGCCTTCTAAACTCGGTGGATAATGGGCCCGCCCCTCTACCCTTCTCCACTTAAATACCGGGCTTTGCTTTGCATGGTGTGGGGCTTGAACCTGCGACCTAAGCCACAAATCCTCCACCTTTTGCCACTCAAGCTAGTAAGTGGAAGCTACTTGTGTTTACTTAAAGATTGTAGAGACTCTGATTCCATATAGTGAAAGAGAAAAACTCTTGCTGAATTGATTTTAGACAAAATATACATGAGTATCCATGATATAGGAGTTCAGACTACATAAAATAAGAACAGTTTAAGCTAAGAAAACTTTCCTAATAACTGGATTCCTAATCATGGGCATCCATAAAGAATAACCATATTACTGAGCTAGAAAACATAACAACCTTAAATCTCTTGACTATCTAAAGGGGAAGCTTTAGAGTGCATCTGGGAAATCTGAAATTCAATTCTCAGTGGAAGTATTAATATAAATCAGTAAAGACTTCTAGCTAGCTTTTTTAATTCATCACCAGAAATAAGCTACACAGAAAAAGCAAGTACCTTTGCAACTGCAGTTCCAGATCCCATGGCAATTCCAATGTTTGCTTTCTTCAGTGCAGGTGCATCATTTACTCCATCTCCAGTCATTGCAACCTTTGAATTAAAATATATATAAAAAAAAAAATATATATATATATATGAAAAGAAAAGAGAACGAACTAAGTTTGTTAACACAGGAATAATTCAGAAGAGAGATTTCATAAGCATGGAACTAAAAGCACAGGTTGCTTCCTGCAATTTTATAGTGCATTTCAACAGAAGAATTTAAGCAAGATTAGGTAATCCAAACACTTAAGGACAAGGCAAAGAGACCCCTGTCCATTTAAATAAGGATGAAAGAAGTTTCACATGCAAAGGATTAAAAAGAAGTAATAACAGAGGTAACAACTCAACATGGTTATGGTCCATTTCAATGATAACAATGTTAAGCAAACTCAGGTAGTGAAATGCTTGAGAAGAAGGCTATAAGATCAGAACAGATTTACACAAGGACATGAGAATATTTATATAATAGGTTCAGAATCTTACATCATTAAATACTGAAGATGTAAGCTCAGAAAATTGGACATGAAAAGGCACAACATATCAGAGAAAAGCCAAGGAGCATTCGAGATGCCAAACTACCCCTCATCATAGAGATAAATAAGCACACAGTTAACGGGCAGAAGGAGAAGTCTCCCCAGCATATAGACAAAGTGGTAATGGTTTGAAATCAAATGATTGGGTGTACAAGTACAATTTCACCAGCCTTACTACCATCACACTACCTGTTCAAAACAGCTTATCATGATTCATACTTTACCTAAAACTATTGTACTCTTGACAAAGTTACAAGCCACATTTTTATGTGGTTCCTTTCTAGTATAAACAAAATAATTGTGAAAGGCCAAACTAACTTGAGGAAAGATCAAAAGCAACAACCAAAAGAGGGGAAAGGTACCACTTCATTTTGATTCTGTAATGCTTCAACCAGCATCCTTTTGTGGGATGGTTCGACCCTAAGAACATGGAAATCAACCATTATAAATGACAAAAGGATAAGTTGGAAACTAGGAGTCAATAAGTTTTATAGACATAAATTAAAGAATTTAAAGGGAATCCAGTAACAATAAGAAGCAATGTTATTACCTGGATAAAATTGTCATTCGTTGTAATGCCACTGATTTCTGCAATGCCGGGAGTTCTTCAAACTCAGAGGCAGTATAAGAAAACCCAGTAAAATCTCCCAAGTGATCAAAGGCACCAATTTTTTGGCACAAGGATTCTGCAGTTGTCTAAAATTATGTAGATATTAAATTGGGTCCAGAGCAGATCATTGCTGATTGAGATATTCATTATCACAGGACTATTCATTTTACCTTGTTATCCCCAGTAACAACGATTACACGTATGCCCGCATTCATACATGAAAGGATGGCATTTCTTACTTCATCCCTTGGTGGATCAAGCATCCCAACCTTTAATTAAGCAAATATAAGAGTAGGTACATAATCATATGGTCAACATTAAAATGAGAACCACTTAAGTGGATAGGGGCAATTAAAGCGCTGCACAACAGAGCACGGAATTTTATGAAGGAAGCGCAAATGAAGAAAAAGATAGAAAGATCGATATATGTCTGATAAAGAGTAATCGATATTCTTTCTCAAAAAGAGAAATTGATATTAACCCAAGCAGTGATAACTTAAATAAAATATAAACAACTACAATCAGGTAAAATATTTCTTGTCAGTGCTGCACTTCAAGACATAACCCATGGGCGATGAAGCACATGCCTTCAAGTCTTGATGCCTGCACCTAAGTGCAGCCCAAGCAAGGGAAGTGGGAAGGGAACAACTTGTTTTGCACCTAACTTCAGGATTCAAGCGTGCCCCAAGCGAGGCTTTGACAACACTATATTTATATGCAAAAAGTTATTATGTTTACAAACTGCAATTATGTGAAATATATGAGTGACAACAACATACCCCATGAAATCCCACAAAGTGGGGTCTGGGAGGGTAGAGAGGTTGTCTTTGAAAGACCCTCAGCTCAAGTGAAGCAAAACAAAGTGGTAATGAAAAAAAGGGCAATGAAGACTTTATGACAACTAATATGAAAGCAGTGCACAGCATACAGGCTAGATACAGTAACATCAACAAAATAGTGCAATCCCCTAAACATAATAAACAACAGATGGTAACATATAACAGAAGCAAGAAATTACATGAATAAGGATGTACTACGACAGACAAGGCACTCCAGACTACCACCAAACCTAATACCATCGAAAAACAAGACGACGCTCAACTATCTACTTAACCTTCTACCCTAATCTATGACCTCCATACCCTTCTATCTAAGGTCATGTCCTTAGTTAGCTGAATTTGCACCATGTCTTATCTAATCATCTCTCCCAATACTTCTCCAACACTACCTCTCCTCATACCCACTACATTCAACCTCTCACACCTCCTCACTCACTGAGACATTTGCATATCTCCTCTTCACATGACCAAATTATCTCAGTCTCCATTCATTCATCTTGTCCACCAGGAAAGCCACTCTTACCTTATAGCGGATATCCTCATTCCTAATCTTCTTGTTTCTAGTATGCACACACATCCATCACAGCATCCTTATTTTCCCTACATGCATCTTCTGAATATAAGAGTTCTTGAGGGGCCAACATTCTGCCCCATACAACATAACTGGTCTAACCACCACTCTATAGATTTTACCTTTGAGTTTTGGTGGTACCTTTTTATCACACAAGACTATGAAAGCAAGCCTTTGTTCATCCACATCACACCAATATAATGAGTGACACCATCGTAAACCACATTTCCTTGGAGCAAAGACCCAAGATACCTAAAACTATCTCTTAGGAACGTGCGTATCAAGTTTCACTTTCACGCTTGCCTCATGTGTTGCATCATTGAATTTACAATCCAAATACTATATTTTAGTGTTGCTCAACCTAGCGTCAACTTCTTAGTAAGTCTCATCAATCAGGATTATGTTATTTAAAAATAACATACACCATGGCACCTCACCTTGAATATATCGTCAACATATCCATCATCAAGGCAAATAGAAACGGGCTAAGTGTTGATCCTTGGTGCATATCTATCTCGACTTGGAAGTGCTCCAAGTCTTCTCACACTATCTTTACCCGAGTCTTGGCTCCATCATACATGTCCTTCATCGCCCTAAATATAAGCCACGCGAACACCTCTAGCCTTTAGGCATCTCCATAGAACTTCCCTCCAGACTTTGTCATAGGCTTTTTCTAGGTAAATGAACATCATATGTAAGTCTATCTTCATTTCCTTGTATTTCTCCGTCAATCTCCTGACAAGATGAATGGCTTCTATAGTTGATCACCACGGCATGAATACGAACTAGTTCTCGGATATGGACAAACTATTCCTCACCCTTATATTGACCACCTTTGTCCCAAACTTTAATAGTATCACTTAATAGCTTGATACCCCTGTAATTGTTGCAATTTTGGATATCACCCTTGTTCTTGTATGACGGAACCATTATGCTCCACCTCCATTCTTTGAGCATTTGTCATTTTAAAAATGACATTAAACAACCCAATCAACCACACCATGGCTTCCCCACCTATACTCTTCCCAAATTCCACAAAAATCTCATCTGATCAAGTCGCACTTACCATGTTAATCGTACGAATAATACCCTTAAATATTCAACCTAAGACACCTACAATATCCAAAATCTTGACGTCTCTCTTAGTGCTCCAAATTACCCAACACAATGTCTCTGCCTTTTCTTCGTTCTAGAATTTATGAAAGTATGCTTGTCATCTTCGTCTAATGAGTGTCTCTTCCACTAGCACTTTACCTTCCTCATCTTTGATGTACTTCACACTTGATCCTGGTCTCGAGTTTTCCTCTCTCTCGTCTTGGTAAGCCTGTACAACTTTTTATCTCCACCTTTGTCCCTTAGCTTGACATACAAGCATTCAAAAGTTGTCATTTTTGTTGTCGTGACCACTAACTTTGTGTCTTTACCTTTCCACATTCGCTTGTCTTTCCATCAACTTTGCATAAGCACTCTACTTTGCTTCCACTTAGCCATGGACTTCTCCATTTCACAACCAATCTATTCATTGACCAACAAAGTTACCCCTTGAAACCCCTACCACATCTCTAGTTGTTTCCCTAATGCAACTAGTTGTCCTATCACATGTTGTTCGCATCCCCACTACTCTATCAAGCCCCCATCAACGTCAACCTCTCCCCCATCTCCCAAGCCCAGGTAAGGGTAAAGCCACCCCATTTGATCCTCGATAGGTCATATAATGTCCTCTTCTTCCCCTCCCTAATAATCTCTAAGTCCATTGCCAAGGGCTTATGTAGGAGAGTAAGATTCTCACTTTGGATAACCTTGAACTCCTAACAAAGGCCTCCACCACCTTTCCTAAAAAGTAAGTAATCTATTTGAGTTTTGGCCACCACACAGCCAAAGGTAACCAAGTGGTTTTCCTTTATCAGAAATCACAAATTACCTATCACCAACTCGAAAGCTTTAGAAAAATCCAAAAGTGACTCTATTTCTAACCCCAAAACAGAATCCTCCCTGCTTAATGACAAAATCAATAGAAGCTACCCTGAAGTGACCATTAAAATCTCCACCAACGAATAGCTTCTTGGTATGTGGTATACCCCTCACAAGTTCATCCAAATTCTCCTAGAAGTGCTTGAACTCCTCCTCCAAGCCCAGTTGTGACGTGTATGCACTAATAATGTTCAAAGTAATCCCTCTACTGACTAGCTTAAGTGAAATATATGATTGAGAACTACCAAAACCATTTTGAATATTTTTATTTAGATGCAAAGTACCAGTCAAAGTGTCATTTTTCTCAAACGAGATATGTTCTTTATTGCAACAGTCAAAGTGTCATTTTTCTTGCAAAGAATAAGAAGCCATCAGATCAATTACTTCAACATGAACAAATTCACACATATCACAAATGGTTTTGACATTTTGACCAAATCTTTTCCCAGAGGAAAGTTTGAAGAATGTAGCTTGATTGCCGTAGTGGCGTTTCCTCCACATAATTGGAAAGGGGAAAATTGTTGAATTTTTGTTCATGCTACTTATTTTCTTTCCTATGTGGATAAAAATATACCCTTTGAAAACCCCACTTTCAGGCCTTATCTGATTTCTAAGGCCCCTTAAACAGTGTAGAAATTTCTGTCATATACCAGCTACCTTATTTTGAGTCTCTCGATTCGTTCACCGTTTGATCAAACTGAAATTTGAACTGTGAGTTCCTAACGTTCTTTTCTTTGATCTGAATAGTAGAGATCGGATTCAGTGGTATATAACCATAGATTTTCAGTCGGTGTATTAAATATACTCCAAAATAAGGACTGGTTTTTCAGTGAGTTGTCATCAGTTTCTAGACTGTCCTTGTAAAACTCAATGGGTTGCAGTAGTATCTTTGCTTCGGTGTATTAAATATACTCCAAAATAAGGACTACTTTATAAGAATCGAGGACATGAAACCATTGGTAGTACTGGATAGAGTAGTTTCTGTAAGTTCAATTTGGATAGTTTAACATCTTAGGACTTGATGAACTTAAAACTCTGATAATGAAGCTTTCTTACATATTAGAACACGTAGGTGCAAAAAGATCATGATTAGTATCGATTTCATGCATTAAGGATGAATAACTTCTAAAAAGGTATTCCATACATATACACACACACACCAGCATAAGATGATCTCCCCTTATCGATTTCATGCATTAAGGATGAATAACTTCTAAAAAGGTATTCCATACATATACACACACACACCAGCATAAGATGATCTCCCCTTATCGATTTCATGCATTAAGGATGAATAACTTCTAAAAAGGTATTCCATACATATACACACACACACCAGCATAAGATGATCTCCCCTTATCGATTTCATGCATTAAGGATGAATAACTTCTAAAAAGGTATTCCATACATATACACACACACACCAGCATAAGATGATCTCCCCTATCGCATGGATTGGTGCCACATTCGCAAGGAAGGAACAGATCTCTACATATTTGAACAGTGAAAAATCCAAACCTAAACTTTGCCATTATTGGAGTGATATGTTCCCAATCATTCATGTAATTTCACCCTGACACCACCAGATTTTTATAAGTGATTTTGGTTGAATTTAAATCATAGATTCGTGAGATTTGAATACCAAATTTGGAGGGTTTTGACCTAGTTCCTTAAATGAGTTAAATAGGGGATCTGACCATGAAACTGGACATTAAATGAGAAACCAATCATAAATTTGAACTCACAAGCTTATAGGTAATCAGATTTTGTAATTTGTTCTGAGATTTGACCAGGTAGACTGAGTATTAATTTTTAGGCTTGACTTTGACTTTGACTTTGATTAGAGGCACCAATCAAATCAATCAAACGCCCCTACTCCAAATTATTTGGAGTAGACTATTTCAATCCTTTGTACCTATTCGACTCTATTCAGGTCCATCTCTTTTCAATATTAGGCATTGGACATAATTTGGTTGAAATTGGAAAAAAGGAAGTATTTGATGTTGAAAATTGAGAATTTGGTTGAAATACTCCTAAAATCTATCCTCCAAATTGCAAATTCTTTATTTCAAGTTCATAGTTGAAATAATGGACTAAACTGATAAACACCTGCTTGAAATAATCTCCAAATATCATTTTATTTGATTGATTGTTTTAAGTTAGTATTCTATAAATCATGCAAAAAGTAAATAAACAAATCAAAAAAGTTGTAATGCTTTTAACATACAAAAGTAAGGCATATAGAAGAGAGAGCATACCAACCCAATAAACGTAAGGTCATTTTCATCATCAAAGGAGAGCGATTGTTGACCCATAGGCATTCTTTTCAAGGCTAGAGCTAAGCATCTAAGAGTTTCTTTTCCTGCAAAACTGGAGGGGAAAAATGTTATGCATCACCTAAATATCCTTAAATATGCATTAATACAGAATATTTTCAAATAACTACAAAAACCCGTTGACACATCAGAAGCTTAAAGGTAGAAATATGCACATCCATGCATCTAGAGGACCTGCCAGATAAGTCTGATGATAACTACCATATTTATGTTTAGTACACTATCAAAAGTGGCACAAGTACAAGGTTATACAAAATACTCAAGTTTGTCTGAAACATCGATATCACCATATCTGACACAGATTAGCAAATTCCATCTCAACATATAATATCTGCAACAACCATAGCAATGGCAATACCGAGAGTAGTAGAGCCTCTTGAACCTACTTAAGACACAATTTTACCTACTCAACCGTGAGAAGGAAATAGAGAAATCGATGAGGAGTCGGACACCGTAGCGAGGTGGATGAAATGGATGCTCACATCCGGTGTCCTATATTTTTTTTTTGAGAAGGTAACAACTTGTTTTCTATTCCAAAAAATCAGAAGCTGCCATAACATATTAAAGGTTCCTAATTACATTTGTGGAGAGTAGCTGGAAGATCTTCAATCCTATAGAAAAATTTACAAGGAACCTGAAACATATGTAACTTGAAACATATGTAACTGATTCTAGATCTTCCATGTACTCTTGTTTACACCAAAAAAGAAACAAAACTAAGCAGTTTGAACTTAATCTTTGGATGGAAGTACTCTTGGCCCGGAAGCATCTGAGATTTCTACAGTGCTTGTTCAGTGGAGGCAAATCTCCACAACCACTTCATCATAAGGCATTAGTTTTGGATTTTTAAATTCCTTACCCTGAACCCCCTCCCCGTTTACTCATAAACACAGTATCCCACTTGACCAAGTAGAATTTCCTAGTGTCACTATTTCCTTCCCACATGAAGTTTCTTCTCACAGAATCTAGTCTATCAATGACACCATTGGGAATAGGTAAAAGAGACATTATATAGATAGGCATAAAGTCCAAAACATTGCTGATGAGTGTTAATCTTCCTCCTAAAGAATGGTACTGGCTCTTCCTATTCACCAACCTTTATTCACATTTTTCAATCACCCCATTCCAGATGCCTATGGATTTGCTTTTGGCTCCCAAAGACATCCCCAAGTATGTAGTTGGTAGGTCTCCTATCCTTCCACCCAAAATGCTAGCCAGAGAGAGTAAATCAGGGACTTATATAAGAAAATCTTGTTCAAATTGATGTGAAGTCCTGAGATAGCTTCAAAAAGAACAAAGATTACCCTTAAAATCTTGAGTTGTTTCATGTTTGCATCAGGAAGACAAGAGTGTCATCTGCATATTGAAGGCTAGTAATCTCCAAATCAACGCCCACTCTACTGGAGACCCTAAAACCTCTCAGCCACAACTTCTCTTGAGGAATTTTCAACATATTATTTAGCTCCTCCATAGCAATAATAAAAAGGAAAGAAGATAATGGGTCTCATTGTCCTAAACCTCTTTGTGAAGAGAAGAAACCTGTACGAGAGCCATTTATTAGAACTGAGAATTTCACAGTGCTGATGCAAAACTTCATCCATCTTAGCCATCTACCTCCAAAACCCCTTTTAAAAAGAGTCTCCAGTAGGAACTTCCAATTGAGGTGGTCATAAGCTTTTTGAATGTCCTGCTTACATAGGATGCCTGGGACACTACAACTAGTTCTAGCGTCAACACACTCATTTGCCATAAAAATGGCATCCATTATTTGTCTCCCTTTTATGAAGGCCAAATGTTGGGGTCCACCAGTTTATGTATAACCATTTTTATTCTCTCAGTGAGTAATTTGGAGGTGATCTTGTACACATACCAATCAGGCTAATAGGTCTGAAGTCGGTGAGCTCCTAAGCACCTATTTTTTTTGGAATTAAAGCCATATAAGTAGAATTGAAGCTTCTCTCAAACACACATCTCTCACTGATACATTCTTGACTTGGTAATAATGTATCAGCGAAACTTAAAGATAAGTTTTGTAGAGTGGCTATTAGACCGACTGTGTTGTACGGAGTGGAGTGTTGGTCAGTCAAGAACTCGCATATTCAGAAGATGAAGATAGCAAAATGAGGATGCTTAGATGGATATGTATGCATACTAGAAGAGACAAGATTAGAATGAAGATATACGGGGTACACAGGGAGAAGTTGTTGTGATGGACAAGATGTGGGAAGCAAGACTAAGATGGTTTGAGCATAAGAATAGGAAGACCACAGACGCCCTCGTGAGGATGTGCGAGAAGTTGGCAGTGATGGATTTCAGAAGAGGTAGGGGTAGACCAAGGAAGAATTAGGGAGATTAGACTAGACATGACACAGCTTCAGCTCACCAAGGAATAACCCTAGAGAGGAGATCATGAAAAGAGAGGATTAGGATAGATGGTTAGTTGGTTGTAGAATGTTTTCTCTCACAACACTTGGTGGAGCAGGATTCTAGAGCATTTATCGGTTCCCTTATTGTCACTATTATGCTCGCATTATCTTATTCTTCAATTTTATTACTACTGTCATTTCTTTCATTTTGGTTGTCTTAAGTTTCTATTGTTTGTGCTTTCTTTTCTCCAATATTTTCATCATAGCTTTACCCTTGCTTTTCTTTCAAACCATTTTCTGAAAACGATTTCCTTGAGTCAAGGATCTCTCGGAAACAATCTCCCTTTTATCCCACAAAGGTAGAGGTAAGGCCTGCATACATCCCATCCTCCTCAAACCCCACTTATGGGACTATACCAGGTAAGTTGTTGTAACAATAAGAAGATTGCAATGTCAGAGAAGCATAATTTTGCTAGAACTTATACGAAGTAATTGAACTCTAAAAACTAAAGCATCCCTTAATCAAAGAAATACATGCAAAAGGTTGTTCAATGTCTATACTTTTTTTTTTGAACAGGTAACATTTTTGTGTATTAATAACAAACTACAGAAAGGGTGTGTAGTCTCCCATATTTACATCCAGATGAGCAAAAAAAATAAGCTCCTAGTCCTTAATTTTCTCGTAAGGAATCGAGTACATCATAAACTGATTCTAACTCCTCAATTAAGCTATGTTTACACCAAAAAAATAAAAGCCCTAAACATTTCAACTTTAGTTTCTATATACTAATGGTTTTGTCTTCAAACCAAACTTTGTTTCTTTCTCCCCACACAATCCACCAAATGCAAGCTGGGACAATTTTCCATCTCTCTTTCTGATTAGAGGGATTGGTATCACTGTTCCAGCATTTCAATACATCAGATACTCTTCCCGGCATAGTCCAGTTAATGCCCCTCAAGTTAATGAAAATATTCCACAACTGGTCAATCCAGCTACAGTGAAGAAAGATATGAGAGATTGTCTCTGCTTCCTTACCACAGAGAAAACACCTTGAGCAAAGATTGAAACCTCTCTTCATGAGTGTATCTTGTGTGAGTACAACTTCTCTGGCTAGCAACCAAGAGAAGCATGCAACTTTGTGAGGGATCTTACCCCTCCAGATCATCTTCCAAGGCCAGGTCCCACTCTGATTGTTTGAGGTTGTGAGTACTCGGTATGCTGCTTTCACTGTAAATTTGTTCTCCTTATTCCTTAACCATATCAAGCAATCTGCCTCAGTTGATGTACCTTTGAACTGTTCTAAAGTTCCGAAAAAGCTTGCTAGTCTGTCAATTTCCCAATCATTTAAAGCTCTTCTGAAACTCAACTAATTACATATTATGAAATCTCAAAGTTCTTGTAAAATGTTCTAAAAGAAACTTAACAATTAGCATGGGCCATAAGGCTTGAAATGGTCTGTCTATTAATTGGTGTCTTAGTACAACTCTGTTTAGATAGCACTGCCATTTCAGCCAACTTATGAGTTATGTGCACATGACTAATCCACCAGACACCTACTACCTAACACATGTACCAGATAACTTTATCCACCAAAACTTGAGTAGTCTAAGTAGTCTTGAAAGAATTCACTTAGTATTGCCTCTGTTTGTATTAGAACTTTGGTGCCTTGGTATAAATTTCACATACAAAGGAAACCATACATTTGAGTAGAGAATATCTAACATTCCCCATCACAAGACAAAGAAAAACAACTACAATACATATGTCCTTCCATCTTGGATTTGTGCCTGATATAGTTATTAATTTACCCGCCCAAGGGTAAACACAATGCAACAAAACACAATATTTAACTCCTAGATACCTCTTATATCCTATCATCATTAAATTCAATTTTTAACACTTGCAGAGAGGTAAAATTATTTTTTCACCGGTGGAATGATAGTCAACTTGCACACACCTCAACTATTCCATTAAGTGCCCATACCTCTCACCTGCACAAGTACCGAGTAATTCTATCCACCAAGGTTTAGACATATGGGAAGAAATCACTTAGGCATACCAACTATATATGTTGTGATGCTGATGTGATCAAGTTGGACTACCTTGGACAAGCTCTAACTTGATTGCAAGTGATTTCAAGGCTTAAATCAACCTTAGTAAATGTGAGATCATACTCGTTGGTGTAGTAGATAATATTGGCATGCTTGTCCATGTCTTGTAGTGCTGGGTAGGGGCTCTCCCCCACTACCTACCTAGGATTGCCTCTGGTGTGTCGAACAAGGATCTCACTGTTTGGAATCCTGTCATTCAGAGGGTAGAGAAGACATAGCTAGGTGGCAGAAAGATACTCATCCAAAGGAGGCAAAGAAGTGCATATAAGGAGCACGCTATTGAGTATCCCTAAATATTGCATGTCCATGTTCAATGCACCTTGCTATGTTATAGGTAAGATGGAGAGGTTGCAAAGAGATTTTCTTTGGGATGCGGCGGACGGAGCAAAGAAGTTTCACTTAGTTTGATGGGAATCTATGACATCTCCTAAACAGTACGGAGGATTTGGGATTAAAAACTTGAAGACTTTCAATAAAGCTCTTCTATTTAAATGGTTGTGGAGATTTGGGGTTGAGGGAGAAGCTTTATGGAGAGGGGTTATAGCTGGAATATACGGTGAAATGGAGGGGGAATGGAGAACAAAAGTGATCACTATGCCTTTCGAATGTGGTGTGTGGAGGAATATAACGAAGGGGTGGGATGCTTTGGATGATAACATTACTTTTAGGGTTGGCAGGAGAGTAGAGTTAGTTTTTTGGGGGCAACAGTGGTGTGGAAGTTTGGTGCTTAAGGATAAATTCCCCTACTGTATATGGTTTCATGCCAAAGGGAGTTATTTGTTCAGCAAGTTAGGAGGACACAAGGGGATGGAACTTTTAGAGATTTGAGGTTCAAAAGGAATTTCCAGGATTGGGAGGTGACCGAACTTCAGAGATTGCTAAATTACTCCAAAAGAAATGTGAGAAGTTGACAGACCCAATGATTTGAGTAGAGAGAAGTTGGGGAATAACAAAGTGTTTTCTGTCAAGTCCTTCTATAAGAAGCTTCTGGTAAGGGTGGAGGATATTTTTCCATATGGTGCGGTATGAATAACGAAGGTTGACATGAAAGGTGTGCTTCTTCACGTGGCTAGCTACTGGAGGGGTGATTTTGACATCAGAAAACCTTAGGAAGCAATAGGTTGTCCACATGAGTTGGTGTTTCCTATGTAAGGAGACTGGTGACGATGCGGATCATATTTTATTATATTGCAAATTAGCCACGATGTTATGAGAAGATATGTTTACGTGGCTTGGTGTCACTCAGGTAATGCCAAGATCAGTGAAGGAGTTGATGATTAGTTGGAAGAGTGGAGCTAGGAGAAGAAGCCACAATGCATGGAATGTTACTCCTCTAGCTTGGTCATTTCGAAAGAGAGAATAGGAGAGCTTTTGAAGGGCTGGAGATGAGCTTTACTCAATTGAGAAGTAGTTTTTGATCCCTTATTTTCTTTTGGTGCACAAATGTAGTTCATGTTTGTATAGAGGATTGGATGTCTTTTGGAGAGAACCATATTTTGTAGGTCTCCTTTTTGGTATATCTCTTATATATGGACAAGTTGGCCTTGTTATTGTCAATGAAAACCTTACTTGATCAAAAAAAAATTATCCATATATATCAAGCCCCCAAGGCTTTGGTCTAACTGATAAGAATGTTGTGCGTGATGTGAGATTATGGGCATAACGCGACAACAATATGGTATTTAAGTGGAGAAGGGTGAAGAGGTGGGCCCATTATCCACTGAGTTTTAAATAGTGTGTGGACCGCGAAGATTTCTTGGTTATCAAAAAGATTACCCTCCACAACTATCATTCCTTTTACAGATAAGTGAAATCAGAACTTCAGAAAGTATCGGTAATATTACAGGTTTTATGTGGCTGTTCACTCATAATGCATGCCTCACTCACTGCAACCTATAGAGAAGGGGAATGATGTTATGCATCATATGCTTTATATGTAATAGTGAGGTGGAAAGCTTAATCACCTCTTTTTGCATTGCTCAATTGCCAACCAGAGTTGGTCACTTTTCTACAGGTTATTCAGGATGATATTTCTCATGCCATACACAGTTAAAGACTTACTCAACTGCTGGGCTTACAAGGGGATCAGAAAACTATTGAGGAAGATATGGAAGACGGTGCCTGCTTGTGTCTGTTCAGTAATATGGAAGGAAAAGGGTACCAGATGTTTCAAAGGGAAGGAAGATACCATACAAAAACTGAAAGACAAATGTTTATGGCTGATGCTTTTTAGTGTAATCTACCGGATGTAAAGGATGAAAATAGCATGCTAGAAGGAGTCCATCCTTTTGTATTTTGTAAAAGGCAGAACTCATCAGCAGCCCCTTAAAGTTGGCATCAACTTTCACTTATGCACCTCAAGTAGGTCTTGTTCATTTTAGGCACCTGCAGTAGGGTCCCATTGTGTCATTTTGACACTTTTTTTACAATCATCTAAAATAACAGTGTAATACACTCGCGGACGACATGGCATGATGATTAATTAAAAGAGGACATGTGGCATTTGAGAGTAAAATAATAGTTTATAAAATAAATTATACGAAAAAAAAAGAAAAAACTAATTTTCAACAAAAATAACCTATTTTCTATACCCCGCCTCCCCTTTCTTCGTGACATTGTCCCTTTGTTCTTCTTCCACTTCTTTTTTTTTTGGTTTTCAATAGTTTATAATTCATTTTCTTTTTTCTTTATCGCTTCAAATTTGGTTTGGAGGACTATTTTATCGATAGTGATTGACTGGCAAGGTTCCGGCAGAAATGATAGGATTCTTCCTTCATTTTTCTTTCAATTTTTCGTGTTTTGTTCTTTCATGTTCTTATAAAGTTTTTCATTAGTGTGATGGTTTTTTGGTTTTTTTTCCATGTTTTGCAAGGTTCTCCATAAAGATTTTTATGGTGGAAGGTGGAGCAAGTGGTAGGGATAAAAAGTGCAAAAGAAGAAGAATGAAAAAAAATACAAAAAAAAAGATGCTCCTCAAACGCTAAGAATGGGTGCATCACACACAATGTGCTACGTCAGCAAAAAGTGTCAAAATGACACAGCGGGGCCTTATTTGAGGGGTGTTAAAAATACACAAGGCCTACATGAGGTGTCTAAGTTATAGTTGGTGCCAACTTTAAGGGGTTGCCTATGGGTTCCACCTTTTTGTAATGAAGGATCCCTAACCGATATTATGCCTTGCCCCATCTGAGTGCTAGGTTGCTCTAATTTTAATATAATGTTAACTTACCTATTCAAAAAGCAAACAGAATACAGGTTTCCAATCTGAACTATCTGGATTCAAATATCCCATTCACGCACGTGCCAGACTTGTAGAAAAAAATACAACCATCACAAAAAAAAGAAAAGGCCTAACCTATTATACTTTGCTTCCAACTGAGCTCTAATATGTGCAGAAAGAGGGACCGTAGAACCATCATCATTACACAGTATATTGGTACATCTTGAAAGTATGCTTTCTGGAGCTCCTTTTGAGAACATTATCTCCATCTGCTTCCGGTTACAAAGCACACTCATCATTTTGCGATCACGTGAAAATTCCAATAAAGAAACCTGCAAGTTATGGAATAAGTAAAGATGAATATAATGACATGCATAGCAGTAAATCTGGTCTTTAAATGCTTTTCATGTGTCAAAATCATATAATCAAACAAATTAATAAAGCAACTTGATTTCCAGGAGAAGGAAAATGAAAGGTATTGATTCTAAAAACTCTAAAATTAGCCTTTCATGATTTCTTCAAGTGCAGATAAACAATGCATTTATCAGCAGTGTAGAGCAGCAAGTGTTAGGAGACAAGAGAAAGGGGAAAGGGTGAGAAATTTAAGAAAATCTAAGGATAAATAGTTTATAGAACCCTGGCATGCTACTATAAACAGCAAAGATCGCACAGACACAGTAGCCAAGCGCAAAAAGGGACAAGCTCTGACTCATTCATGTAACAGTTACTTGCAATCTTCCTTGGCAGAATTATGTTCTATGCTGAACTAAGAGGGCATTTGGATTGGCTTTTCTAAAATAAGTTATAAGCTAGTAAAAGCTAAAAATCGTAAGTTGGGAATACCCAACTTTTAGCTTTTAGCTTATTTTTGTATTTTTTTGGCCTAAAAGTAAGTGCTAAAAAACACATTTTTCTTTTCGAAACACCACAAAAAGTAGAAAAAGATCTTAAAGACAAAAGAACTTAAGCTAAGCCAATCCAAACAGCCTCTAACTGATTAAACAAAACAAATTTACAATCTAGACTGAATTAGCTAACAAATCTAAGGGTAGCCCACGCAGGTCGTTCAAGATCTTTCACGTTTTGGGACCCTAATATTGCGGACTACTTGGAATTTGCAAAACTTGCAATGATTTTTTTTCTCTATAGGTCGTCCAGCTTTTCTCCAGACCCACGTAGCGGAAGTTGGTGCTCTGTAATGCTCTTTTAGATTTTTTTACTTGTAAGAATCTTTACCTAGAATTCCTCTTAGCATTTTGTTTACATTAAAAGTTCAGAAGGCATATGCAAACAAGAAACAACAATTGACGCATGATGTCTTTAACAAATGTGAGGATCCAAATGGTGAAAATAATTACATTCGCCGTATTTCCCACGAAAAAACTATTGCAAACATTTGACTGCTGTAGTAAGCATTTCATAAAAGGGAGTTACTATCATCTCAATGGGAAGCAACATTTTACTACAAACCAATTGGGAAAATCATTTGGAACACTTTTGTAAGACAAACATGATCCCTAATGTGTTCGGCAACATGAAAAACACTCCTATACGGAGAGCTCAAACATGACTTTTTTCATGTTTCAGCAAAAGCAAGTTAGTTTGAAATTCCATAAGAATGTGAATGCAAGTCTTAGATTTTGATTATCTCCAGCACAAAATAAATAAAGTGGAAACATACCTCACCTTTTTAAATTGGCTTTCCCAATACCGATTACAGTAAGAGGCCCGTTCATGCTTGCTTAGCATATTTAAAGCAGAGGGCATTGTATCAAAACCAGGAAGACCAATCTGACAATAATTGATAAGAGAATAAGCATAGAGTTACATCTGATTATCAGTCACATAATCAATTTATGTGCTGTAATATGTACATATACTAAACAAATACTTCCTCTGTCCCTTTTTAATAGACCTATCGGAATTTGAAATGTTAATTTGACTTACTATACAAGAAATGGTGAAAGGAAATAATAAAATAATGGTTGCATAGCCAGATTGATAGGAATAATCAAATTATTTAAAATTTGAAGAATTAGATAAACTATAAAGCTTGAAAATTGTATGGCCTTAGGAAATAATGTTATCAGTAAAACAATGTTAAACATTTGGGACTTCTACAAAATAAAAAGAAATGCCATATAAATTGGAGATAAGGAATAAATAAAGAAGCGACATGCAAGCCAAAGTCCAGACTAACTTTTTCTGCCAGCAAACGGAGGGCAACTTCAGTTGATTCACCAATCTTCTCATAAATTCTCTTATCTGGGTTGTATTGTATAACAGACTCATTGCATAGAGCTGAGCACATTGCTATATGAAGTAGACAAGGATACTGAGCAGGAATCTCTAGCTGCACAGAACACCAAAATTAAATAAACTACTAAATAAATATACTATGGAAAACAGAAGCAAGTAGCAAACAAATAATTTTATCCTATAATGCTTCTAGAGTATTTAACATATATAGTGTGCGACATGGAAAAGGATTATAATGTACTTTGTATTAATAGGGCTTAGTGTAATAATGTAGTTAATGCATCTTATTATTATTTCTCGTGTTTTTATTTTTCACATGGTATTAGAGAGACCGTAAGAAATCTCAGGAATAGGATAGTCAATCACCATGCCTTCTTTCCTGTGACTTCTAGATTTTCCCTGTGCCATCTCCTTTTCTGCCAGTAGTCAAGGCCCAGCAAGATCTGGCGACCAAACCCCAGAAAACTGCTTCAGCAGAATCCCCAATGATGCACCCTCACGTGCTTGACAAAGCTCCAATGCCTCTGGCATGTCCAACACATGCTTCAGCGCGTGAGGCAGTTTGCAGCCAATTTTCAGAGCAGTTCTTTTTTTTGGTTGGGATCATACCATGATTTCGAGCCCAGCATACTATTTTCTTCAAGTTCCGATCACTTTTCATTTTTCCAGTGAATTTTCTGACGTGTTTGTGCAGTGTTACAGCCATTCAATAACTTTTTTAGTGAAGTATGTAATTCTCTGCATGGTAGACCACCTAAAATGCTCATGTTGCTTATACTGCACCGGGTGTAATTAGGGGTTTTCTTTAGAGAAAATTACAGCCCAATACCTTTAGGCCATCTAGTTCACAAAATATGTACACAGTGTATAAGTAGTGTATACTTTATACTAATACACATATAATATACATACATTTGCATATAATATACATACTTATACATATAATAAACATACCTATATGTATAATACATACGTATTCACACCATATATAACTGAGTGTATATGTAGTGTATACTTCAGCTATCCTTGGTAAACTACATGGCTAAATGGTTCCTTTATCTTTTTTGAGGCTGTAAATGGTTCCTTATCTGAAGGAGGATAAATAAATTCCTTCTGTATTGAGCAATTAAGCAGACATCTCCATGAGTAGTCTTAGTTGCTCAGACTCAGACTTTTGTTCCTGGTAATTCTTTTGCTTGTGTTAACATTCTTATACCCTTGGACTGTGAGTCCTGGACTCCAACACTTTTGATCATATTTCTGGTAATAAATTCTTTTGCTTATGTTTCACATTCTCCACAAGAACGTTTTTCTCCATAATGGTATTGAGGATGAAGTTTTTTTTTATTAATGACAAGGGAAACCCGCGGCCGCGACCCTTTGGGTGAGCACAGGGTAAAACCTCCGCCCCTATACAATAGTTCGCAAACCACACAGGAGAGGTAACTCGTACTAGGCAAGCCCGGTGCAACCTTGACCCAAAAGGCAAACCCCTTGCTTTCCCAGGCAAGGGGTTTCGAACTTGAGACCTCCAACATGGAAGTCCAAAGCCCGGGCCGCCCCGAAGGGTATTGAGGATGAAGTTTATACGGAGGAACCACCTAATTTTGTTGCTCAGAGGGAGTCTAGTAGCTTCGTATGTCTATAGCACTAGTCACTCTATGGCCAGAAACAGTCACATAATAATTTAGGAGTTTGGCATGAACTTGTAGTAAAACTTATCACTCTATGGTTCATCAACATTCTGCTCCAAATCTATCTATTTATGGTGGTTATCGTTAGAATAGGAATAGGTTTATACAATCCTATTAGAATAGGAATAGGTTTACACAATCTTATTTAAATAGGAATAGGTTTATACAATCTTATTTAAATAGGAATAGGAATAGTAAATAGTATCTTGATAAAGGATTGTATTCTAGTGTCTATAAATAGGATGTCAATGTAATAATGTAGACACAACTACAATTCAATAATATTTTTCTCCTATATTTCTCACATGGTATCAGAACCATGGTTAGAGATGGTGTTCATCTTGGCGGGTGTAGTTCTAGCCGCAACCTTTTTTACAGTAATGAAGATTTTTGTTGGAGAAATTGTTTCAGAGACCTCTCTGTCAAGACGTAAATTTGATGGAGGAGATTATGGAGAAGAGGTGAAAGATCTTAAAGATTATGTGAAGGTGGACAATTTTATTTTGTCAGAAATTCAGGCCAAGGGAGAGATTTGTTGGGTTTTATTTGCCCCGACTTTCTTACCATAAATAGGTTTTCCTTTTAGGAAATTTTTTTAATATTTGACTAATCATTTTCTTGTAGGAAAAGGTTTAGGACTCTATAAATATAGGTTTGTTCCTTCTAACTTAATTAACATTCACAATGTAGTCCTAACGTTTTGAGAGTTTTGGTTATGGGGGAGAATTTGTGAACCTCCTTGTATTCCGCCCGTCTGGCCAACAATTATGTTAGCAAAAGTTGGGTCACCGTGTATCTTTCCGGTGACTATTTTATCATATTTGATTTATGTAAGCACCGTGTCATCACTCCGGTGACTATTCTTTTATATCTAACTTGTAGCACCGTGCCATCTTTTTTTTGAAACTGGTAACTTTTTCTATATATGTTAGAATCTGAATCATACAAGAGTTGTAGCATCCCCATATTTACAAAGTACTACCTACATCTATGATTCTATGATCCTATGTCTATAATGAGTCTAAAACATCAATGATAGAGACAGGATCATTTAAAAGTAACTGATTACACCAAAAACACAGTAGCAAGATGCAATTAAGCTTAATCTGTTGCATATTGTTCTCTATGCTCTCAAAACACCTAGAATTCCTTTCCTTCCATATTGTCCACCAAATGCCTGCTGGGACTATCCTCCACCTGACTCTATTCTTGGCCAACAACCCAGCTTGTTAAGGCCTCAGGCATCTGTAATTTTCCGAGGCATGCTCCATGCTATTCCTCTGAGGTTCAAAAACAATCTCCATAGTTGTCCTGTGATTCTACAATGTAGGAATAGATGATTCACAGTTTCTGCCTGCTCCCCACACAAGAAGCACCTGGGGCTTAAAATTACCCCTCTTTTCATTAGGTTCTCTTGGGTAAGCACGGCCTCCTTTGCCAAAAGCCACACAAAGCATGCCACTTTATATGGTATTTTTTTTTTGAAACGGTAACTTTGTGTCTATTGATAGAAAAAGATCAATACATGGGCTGTACTAGAGCCATATTTACAAGTAAATCCAGATCCTATGATCCCATGTCTATAATGAATCTAACACATCAATAATAGATACAGGATCATTAGACCGAATTTGATTACACCAAAAACATAGAATCAAGATACAATTCAATTTGATCTGTTCTATACTATTTTCTATGTTCTCAAAACACCTAGAATTTCTCTCCTTCTAGATTGTCCACCATATGCTGGCTGGTATGATTCTCCATCTACATCTGCTTCTTGCCAGAACCCCAACTTCTTCCCAACTTTGAAGGGCCTCTGTAACCTTTCCTGGCATAGTCCAGGAGAAACCTTTAAGTTTTATGAATAGCCTCCAAAGCTGACATGTTGATCTTGTAGTGAAGGAACAAATGTCGAACAGTTTCTGCTTGTTCTCCACAAAAAACACACCTCGGACATAAAATTATCCCCTTTTTTCATCAGATTGTCTTGTGTAAGGACAGCTTCCTTAGATAGGAGCCAAATAAAACATGATACCTTGTACGGTATATTCACTTTCCATATAGTTCTCCAGGGCCAGTTGACATTCTGTTGATTGTGACTATTCAACCATCTGTATGCTTTGCCTACCCTGGCCAATAGTGTTAAGGAAATCTGCAACTCTTGTGATTTCCCAGTCATTTACTTGTCTTCTGAAACTGATTTCCCACCCATCAGGTGTCCACATTCCTGCAATTGTTCTTTGCTGATTTAACATTAAGTTGTGGATATCTGGGTAGATATTCCTCAGAATCCCCATCTCATGCCAGTCATCTCCCAAGAAGCTTGTCTTTTCCCCATTTCTAACCTAACTGGTTGGTTGTTGGTTGTTGGTTGTGGTTCATTTTCCTGTACGCTTTGCTCACTTTGTATGTGCCTTTCTCATCTCCCTTCCACCATAGTTCATCTTCATCTGTTCCCAACCCACTGAATTGCTCAATCTTGTTGATGAAATCTTCCATTCTTGGTATTTCCCAATCATTGAATTGCCTTCTGAAGTTGAATCTCCATCCCTCTGTTGTCCATAATTCTGCCATGGTACTCGGTTGGTGTAGTACTAATGAGTAGATATCTGGAATAACCTTTCTAAGTTGCCTTCTTCATGCCATTCATCTTTCCAGAACCTAGTTTTAGCCCCATTGTTCACCTTGATCTTGAAGAAGCACTTCAGTTCATTCCAGAGATCTCTGATGGATCTCCATAAGTTAACTCCACAAGGAGTTGTAATGTCCTTAGTCATCCATCTGTCTTCCTCCTCATACTTAGCTTCTATGACTCTTCCCTATAGTGCCTCTTTATCATTGGCATACTTCCATAGCCATTTCATTCTGAGTGCCTTACTATGAGTATCCAAATTCTTTATCCCCAAACCTCCAAACTTCTTGTCAATTATCAGAGATTCCCATTTGACCAAGTGGTAGCTTTTCCTGTCTTTATTTCCTTGCCACAAAAACTTCTTCCTGATTCTGTCTAGCCTACTAATGATTTTTGCTGGTATAGGGAACAAGGACATCATACAAGTTGGCAAGGAATCTAACACGGAGTTGATGAGGGTTAATCTACCCCCTAGTGATAAGTACCGTCTTTTCCACATTGCCAATTTCTTCTCACATTTTTCAACCACATTGTTCCAGATTTCGTTAGACTTTTGAGTTTGCCCCTAAAGGCATACCCAAGTACATTGTTGGCAGACTACCAATCCCTCCTCCCAGAATTGCATTTAGGGATTGCGTGGTTGTGACCTCATTGATCGGATAAAGAAAGCTCTTTCCCCAATTGATGTGTAATCCTGACATCCCTTCAAAGAGAACCAATATCACCCTCAAAATTTTTATTTGTTCTTCATCTGCATCACAAAAAATAAGGGTATCATCTGCATACTGCAAATGAGTCACCTCCAGATTATCCCTTCTTTCCTCGCTACATTGAAACCTCTCAACCACCCATTTATATTTGCTGTTTTGACCATGCCATCTTTTCCGGTGACTGTTTTTTCATATTTAATTTGTGTAGCACTGTACCATCATTCCAGTGACTACTTTTTCATATTTAATTTGTGTAGCACCGTGCCATCCTTCCGATGACTACATTTTTTTTGCATATCTGATTTGTGTAGCACCGTGCATCTCTCCGGACTACTTATCATAGTTTATTTGTGTAGTACCGTGGATTTTTCTGAACTATTTTTTCATATCTGAGTTGCATAGCATCATGTGTCTTTTCACTGACTCCTCAGTTTTGATTTGCATAATTCCATTCGTCTTTTCAGTGACTCCTCAAATCTGATTTGTGTAGGGTTGTACCATCATTCCAACCCTACCCGTATAATTTTTCTTTTTCAGTAGGGTCGTGCCATAATTCCGACCCTACCCATATTATTTCTCTTTTTCAATGGGGTCGTTCAATCAATTCGAACTATCCTATATAATTTCTATTTTCTAGTTGGGTCGTGACATCATTCCAACCCTACCCATATAATTTTATTTCTTAGATTGTGACCACTTTTAGCCATCAAATCTAATACTCCGGGCATATGAGCATGTTCCGGTCAGTTTTTCGGTGACTTGTCTAATATCGACTCATCTATTGATTCCAATCCATATACTTTATACAAGATCTTCAGCACTTTGTTGCTCAGGGGGAGTTAAGCAGCCTTGTATGTCGATTATGTGAGTCACTCTACGGTCTGAGTCTGAAACAGTCTTTGCACATTTGGTTTGGGAAGTTCAACACTGTAATTTTATCACTCTGTGTTTTATCGGCATTATGCATCAAATTCAGTATTTCATGAGAAGATTAAGCACATTGAGATTGACTGTCAATTTTGTGAAGTTAACTTATCAACTTGCAAATATCTTACCAAGCCCATCATTGATCCTCGTATTAATTACATATGTAACAAGCTAGGTACATGAATTGTATGCACTAGCTTGAGGGGGGGGGGGGTTAGAATAGGAATAGGTTTATACAATCCTATTAGAATAGGAATAGATTTACACAATCCTATTAGAATAGGAATAAGTTTATACAATCTTATTTAAGTGAGAATAGGAATAGTAAATAGTATCCTACTTGGTAAAGAATTGTATTCTAGTGTCTATAAATAGGATCCTCAATGTAATAATGTAGACACAACTACAATTTAATAATATTTTTCTCCTATATTTCTCAAAGTTATTGTTGACAATATCATATTATCACCAGCAATAATCAGGACGGTATTACCAAATGAAACATCTCTTTCAGCACTTTCAGACTAAAGACTTCGAAAGACTGAAGTACTTTTTAGGTATTGAGGTTGCTCAGTCAAGATCAGGTTATTTCGCAACTAAAGTATGTCTCAGAAATTCTACTGAAAGAAAATGTACACGATCTCATCAAGAAGCCACCCACTTCCCAGCTTTTGCATGTGCAAAGGTTATGCAAATCATTTAGACTTCATACATGGGAAAAATGTATTTCTTTTCCAAGAATCTCGGAGTGTAGCAAACTCATCATAGAGAGTTTAGCAAACTCATCATAGAGGGTCCTTAGTAGTGTTGTCAAAAGCATGCTTTAGCCCAAAAGTGAGGCCCAAAACATGTTGAGCGCTTCGCCTCTCTTAATGTTAGCTTTTGTGTCTTCATCAAGGTTCTAAGGCATGCTTTTCCTTGCGAATGGACGTCTTCTTAAAAAGCGACACTAAACAATTGATATTTCACTTAACGTAATTATTTTTTAATTTCTTTGTTCATATATGTCATTCATGAGGGAGGAGCTGAGAAGATAGGAAAAATATTTAGCAGGGAGAAATGACAATATTGAGGGGCTTTTAAAAATTCTCAATGCAAAAGGAAAATTCACAACTTTTGAGGGTCCAAAAGCCTCCTCCAGCATCACACCAGCACAAGGCCACACATTGTCTTTAAGAGACCATCTGCTTTCCCTTGCATGTTGCATCTCCAAATGACAAAAAAAAATATTTGGGAAAAAAAATCTGATTTTTTTTGGGCAAAATCCTTCACTTATGATGATAATAGAGATGCAAAGAAATACTTATCAGGTCTTAAAATGTCTAAGGGATAGGTTACAATCATTGCCCTACTAACACAACAGCAGTAATGCTTGCAATCAAAACAAACGAAGTACTTGTGCTTCAAAATTGAACTTTGGAAGTCTGTCTACAAGAACAAGAATAACAAGGAATACCTGGGCTCCCAAGCTGTCAAATATAAAACCTTCTGGTGCGTAAGTTGTTCCACTAACAACGTATTCAGAGTTCATTGGACCATTATTTAATGAATGAAGCACACAAATCTGAACAGAAAAAAGTATTACCAAAAATTCATTAGCCAGTGAACAGTTTTTTTTGTTTTTGACAAAGGTAACTGGTTTTGTACATATTTCATCAGCACTAAGGCTGGTATCCAAAAATTTACATCAAAAAAACTACATCCAAAAGAGTAAGATCAGAAACTATCTCTAGGACCTATTTCATCTTATAAGGATCCTAAGATGTCTACTACACCAATAACAAAAAGTAATAATGCACTAATGCAGTTCATTTTAATCCTATGCATGGGGCTGTTGTTGCCCTCAAAACACCTAGAATTCCTCTCCTTCCATATGGCCCACCATATCACTGCTGGGACAGTTCTTCATCTGTCATTGTTTGTGCTGCCACTACCCTTTATTCCAGCTTACTAGAGACTGACCTATTCTTTCAGGCATAGTCCACTCTATACCTCTGAATCTCTAAACAGATTCCATAACTGACCTACCACTCTACAATGAAGAAACAGATGGTTAATTGTCTCTGCAGATTGTTCACAAAAATAGCATCTTTGATACATATGTATGCCCCTCTTCATGAGATTCTCCTGAGTTAGAACAGCCTCTTTCACCACGAACCAGGTGAACAGTACTTTTCAAAGAAACTTACAGACTATTGAGCAATCCCTGACATTGCAGGTACCAGAAGTTGGAAAAGGATAATGTGTGCTCTTCAAATCTAGATTACGGTTGCATATGAATTGGAAGTGGGTCGTATTTGGTTGGAAGTTTGGGGGACAAGAATTTCATTTGTTGTTTTTGGACAATATTGATAATGGTTGGTTGGCGTTTTGAAAAGTTTAATCACTAGATATTATATATGTTAGATATAGGATGGATGTACGGGGAAGTTATGGTGTTGTATGTGGATCATGGTTTAATTAGTTGACCCGTAATTTTGGTTACGAGAATTTCTTGATGCTATCACATTATTATGAATTAAGTTTTAATATATTTTTATATATATAACTAAATATTACGAGTATTGTATTATATTAATTCCTTAAAATTATAATAATTTGATGTATTGAGACTTAACCCTAGGCTTGAGATTTAAGAAATATGAGGCTTAACAAGTTAGTTGGCATCAAGATTAGGAGCTTGGTTATAGAATTGAGTCTGTTTACGTACAAATTATCCATACTTGATAGATTGGGAATGATCTGAGGCATTGAAGAAAGGAAAAGAATTGACGAATTAGCTTACATGGCTTCGGTTCTTTGGTGGAGGTAGGTTATGGTTTATTCTATGTGTTAGATAGACTCTTTTTTTTTTTTTTTTTGAAACTGGTAAGGTTCTATGTGTTAGATAGACTCTTAATAGTGGTTGATAGTCATAAAGTGATATTATGAATTTCTCTATGTACTTGGTTGTTGTGGTTTCGATGATTCATGTGTTGTTGTGATTGGTCTGTAATCCCAAGACTGCGAAATCCATAATCTTTAACTTGTTCTATTAAAAAGATGCCTTGAATAAAGAAGGCTTAATGAAATATTGTTAAGGAAGTGGAAAGAGATGATAAAGAATGACAAATAAATTAACTATATATTTGGATCGGGTTCCACGAGCCGGCACAATATATTATTGGATCGGGTGTCACATTCCGACACGGTATTATTGGATCGGGTGTCACGTTCCGACACGATATTATTAGATCGGGTGTCACATTCCGGCACGGTAACATTAAAGGAAAATATAGTAAAGTAAATGTACTCAATCTCAAAGAACCTAATTCCCAAAAGAGAGTGGTGTGGAGGCATGAGACATCATGTGTGTTCTCGATATAGTGGACTGCTTCGTACTTGTTTCAATGTTGTTGTCACTTGTTCATGGCGGCTGTTGTTTGTCACCTGCTAAGTTGCTATAGTTGATATCATGTTATTACTTTATGCATATTGGTTTTTATTTTGAGTCGGCCGATGATATCTACTCACTACATGTTGCCCTGTACTGACCACCAACTTGTATTTTCTTCATTTTCCTTTTGTGGAGTGCAGCGAATGTACCAGCGACTAGACTCGCCCTCAGCTCTAGCCAGTCTCCAGTCTCCAGCATATCAGGTTCAGGGTGAGCTATTCATTCAAGCTCGTGTTGGATTTTCTTGGTCATGGCATGATGTCCTTAGTTTTCAGACACAAACTATTTTATTCATTTATTTTGGTGTCTTGATACTCTTAGACATAGTATTTGGAGATTGCATGTCCTTGATGTGATGACTTTCAGATTTTGGGAAACGATATATAATAAGATTTAAGCTTCCGCATTATGGTTAGTATTTCGTAAGATGAACGATAAATATAAGTTGGGGTTGAATTCATTGGTTCGCCCACCTAGGAGGTTAAGTGTGGGTGCCACTCATGGCTCGTTTTGGGTTGTGACATCTTAGAGGCCCATAACTCAATGCTATATGTTATCCCTGCTCTTATAACAGTTTTACATAATTATTCTACAGAACTTGCAATTTAACTTTGACAGGTATCCTCCTAATGCGTAACATTTCAATAGACTTCTCAATTTGAACCATCTTATCTTAATTGTATGTGTTACATCTTCATCTAAGTCATGCCATTCTCATGGAACTTCGAGCCAAAACATATGAATTGACTGTATTTACACACCACAACCCCTTCTAATGTCACATAACCTTCACCTTCTTGTGGTTGCTTGAATCGCAGTGCATATATTCTGTTGCACTTCTACTTATGCTAACATCCTCACTTTCTAGATCGCTCCTGCCTAGCATTTTCAAGTGCTTACAGTAACCCCTTCCCCCAAAATATAATATTTCTGTAGGATAGGCCATTTGGGAAGAAAGGGAATGCGGAAAAGGTTCAAAACTACAGAAATAGTGTATATAGTTTACAATGTACCTTTGACACAGACATCATATTTGTTGTGAGAGTGCCAGTCTTGTCACTGCAGATTACTGTCGTGCAGCCCAAGGTTTCTACGGACGGCAAGAATCTCACAATAGCATTTAAACGAGCCATTCGCTTTGTCCCAAGGGCCAAACACCTGCCATAATCAGATAAAAGTACATAGGATTCTCTACCTTTCTCTTCTTTTTCTCATTTTTTCTTGAGGGGTGAGGGGATAGAGGAGATTGAAAACGAGCATAAAATAAACGTAAAAGAACAAAAGCGTATCTTTGAGCAACATACCTAAACAATAACAAAGCATGATAAAAGATATAGTGGTAAGTATGTTGGGAAGTCTTATACACCATGGTGGAGGATAACTCTTGTGTATAATATTTTTCTTCAATTTTGACCAAAAATCGAGCATAAGAAACATATTATTCAGTGACTATCTCTGTTTTTATCGTACTTGGGATTTTTTTAGGTTGAACTTGGTTTATTGACTGCCACAAGTACTACTAAGGAGAGTAAAAATATTCTCCTACCCATGCCACTAGCAATAAGACCAGAGACTCATGCACTAGATACATGAAACAGGAGAGGAGATGTAAGCAGATGTATGGGATACAAGTCACACTTTGTCGATTTCCTGACATACAAACCATTTGTCCAGAAGTAATTGATGGAACAACATTTTACATCTATAAAGCTCTATACTACTTAAAAAAGGTTCAATCTTTGTTAGTACTTTAGCATGTGTTTTTTAAGTTTTCCAACTACCACACTGCAGCTATACTTGATCAACTATTTCAAACATACAGAAGGAAGGATAGTCTTTTTCATTTTAGCAAAACTTGAACAGACTTCATGATTGTGTTTTACAATAAGTTCCCATCAAAACTAACATATGTTTGTCTTAAGTTATACTTTGAAGTGAAGATAACTGCATATAACACAGACCAAAAAGAGAAAATTAAATATAAAAAATCAGTACATAAATGGAGAACTATGTTTTTTTGGATAAAGTAAAAAATTATATTAACAACATGGGCATAAAAAGACGTCCATATACAAGAAGTATACAAAGAAAAGTAAGAAACCTACAAAAAGATATGATTTTCTACGAACACCCAATTATCGATATATAAAGAGACCTCACGGGTATAAATGGAGAGCTAACTAAAACCACTATGGTGCTACTATTACGAAAACAGATGAACTGTGAAAACATTTATTTTTAGCTTTACTAATATACAAAGCTAAAAGAGAATACTGTTTAATCAAATGTTCAATACATACTCTCAGTACATACATTAGCAGGTTCAAGATATGCAGAACAAAGTACACAACCGCATAAAGATTCATCCACCACTGAAAATAAGATAGGAAGTGAACCATGACACGTGAGATAGCTAAACAACTGAGAGGAGAAAGTCTTGCAGTCTTTTCCCCATCAGCATCTACCTAAAATCAAAAGTTAGCCTAAAAGCTTACTGTCCTTTTTATTTAAACTGGGGTTTCACTGCATATAGGAAAGATGAAAACACCTCATCACTTATCAGCACATAAAATGTTTTAAAGCGACAACTTTCTGGCAGCATATCAGAATGGACAGAGAACTTAAACAAAGAGCATTATGGCTACATGTAATATGCAAAGCACTAACTCAACAGATAAACAAAGAAACTTTGAACAAGCATGGATTATCTTTGAAGCCAATAACAAGAAATACACAGTTCAATTGACAACTCATTTTATGGCATACTAATCAGAATATAAATCTTAAGCCACGAGACACCTGTTAAAAAAAATTCAACGTTTATTCTCTGTGCAGAGGACTAACTGTGAAGTCACTCTTTTTGCTGAAACACACAATGACTTTTGCATCTGGCTCCAGCAGTAACATTTTGGTGGCATATTTCTTGGTTCTTCTACCCTCTTAAGTTTGTTTTTTTTGTTTGAAAGCATTATGTAAAGATAATGACATCCATGCAAGTATCCCAACTGGAAAATACCCAGATATCTTATACCAGGCACCAATTAAGAATTCAAAGAACATGGTTACACACACTCACGTTGTAACAACAGCAGGAAGCCCTTCAGGGATTGCTGCAACAGCCAGTGCAACTGCAATCTAAACAAGGAAGAGAGAAGTATGTGTCATCAGTTGTATAGTCAGAACCAAAATCAGCCCATGTAAAGAATTCGAATGAAGCAAGGATAAAAAAGGACCAACCACAGAAGGATAACAAACATAATATGCTCAACTAAACAACAAATAATCCCACGAAAATATCACTCATGAGGAAAATAACTGTTAAATACTTGTGATAATACAAATAAAACAGTTTTTAAATAAAGTCTCTAGAACAGCTTTTAAACAAGAACAATGCCAAAGGAACTCCAAAACCAAAAACTGACTTGAAAAGAATAATAAGAGAGAAAGAACTTGAAAAAAATGAAGCACTAAGAAAGAGCCCCCTCAAATGAGAAGTGTGGAAGCAAAGCAAACATTGAAGTACTGCAGTAAACTAAAACAACATGATAAACAATTTAAAATTCAAATCATCCTAAGCTTATTGTGGTTAAAAAACACCCTCAATAATCTTGTATTGCTTGGAAGCTCTTCTGAAAGTGTTTTTTCTAGACAATGATAAGATTTGCCAGAAATTGTTGCAAGGATTTTTCTTCCATCACAACATCCCAAAAAACATAGGTTTCAAAATATGGTTTCATTCTCACAGACCAAATTTGATAGTTTATGTTGGTAAAAATTTGTGGGGTATTGAAAGAGAGACTATTGGTTGCCATGGTTGAAAAATGGGATGAAAATAGCCCTGACGGGTTAAAGATGATTGAAAGTAGCCTTTACGGGTTAAAAAATGGGTTGTAAATAGCCCTTGCAGGTTGAAAATAGTTTTTTAGAAGCACTCACAGATCCCGTAACATCAATGAGGCTCTTGATACCATTGTTTGGTTTTTTAGAAAGATGGGACAGCAAAAAAAGGATTGGAAATGTCTTTCGATAATTTTATCAATCACAAGAGAGTTTTAAATAGTCAACTTTAAACACAAAAATCTGCATAATTTAAAATTTAAGAAACTAAAATATCTCAACTAACTAGAACAACCTGATAACAATTTAAAATTCAAATCATCCTAACACTAGCGACTTAATTATGCTAAAAAATATTGCAGTAACTAGAGTAAATTTCGACAAATAGTACCGTTAATTAGAGATATCATATCTCTCCCATGTGTGATTCTTCCTAACAACTATCAATTAGGTTAAAAAAGTGCCTCTACAGATGAAAAAAACTAATTAAAAGTGCAAAACAGACGAAGGCGTCCTACATAGATTAAACATGCCAAGATTCTGGTAAATGTACATTAACTAATGAAAATAAAATCTGTCAGGTAATACCTAGCATTTTATTTTTATTTTGAGAAGGTAACAACTCAGGTAATACCTAGCATTGAAACAAAATCAGTCATATAATAAAACATAACATCATTTAAGTGCTCAGTAATAATAAATAAGCAAGGGAAAGGTCTATTATCAGACACTTAAAAACTTCAGTGTAGCTGTACTTTAACATTTAAACCCACGTGTGAATTTGCATAATCCAGGCAAAATTGATTAGTAATGCTTTTAATGAGATTCCTATACCTTAAAGTAATGTATTGCACCTCGCAAGAAGCCACCATGGGCAGGATCACTAAAATGCCCAATGTTTACCACCCAAACTAGCACACATATTCCTGCAATGATCTAAAAGAACGAAAGAATAGCTTCAGAAGCAAATAACATAACGAAGATTGATGAGAAATATGGATGAACAAATAAGTTTCTAGGTCGCATTAGGTGGTAAGTGAAATCTCATGAACTGTTAGACAGATAAGAAGTATGAGCTCCTAATTAAATGTTTCACTTCACCCCATTTAGCAATACAGCATACCCATGTTTATTGGACAAGATATTATGAAATAAGAGAAATAGGGCACATTTACTTCCTTAAAGAACTTTTGTAGCTTCCTTCATTATCTCAAATGCTATTCTTCCTTTTATTATGCTACCCCCCCCCCCCCCCACCCCACCCTGGAGTCATACCTCTTGTTCTCAAGCAGCTCAAGTCTTTTTAGTTTTTTTAAACTGGTGGCTGAACACAGAAGGTTTTAGTGAGAAAATCAGTAACTGGTGGAACTCTTTCTCCTTCTATGGGAGGCCAGACTACATCCTAGCATGTAAAATGAAAGCACTGAAAGAAAAGCTCAAAGAGTGGAGTAAAATTGAAAAAGGAAATCTGCAGATTCAAAGGTCCAAACTGCTTAACAAAATGGCAGATTTGGATTCTTTGCTGAACAAAAGAGCACTGACAGAGGAAGAGGCTACTTTGAAGGCAGAGATCTTTATGGAGTACGAAGAACTGATCAAAAATGAGGAATGTGCTTGGAGACAAAGGTCTAAAATCTTGTGGTTGAAGGAAGGAGACAACAATACAAAATTCTTCCATAATTCTGCAAATGCCCACAAAAGAAGCAACCATATTGACCAGTTGGAAGTAGAGGGAAAGATCAACACAGAACCAGACAGAGTAAAGGAGGAAATCATACAGTTTTATGAGAAACTGTATTCTGAAACAGAAAGATGGAGACCTGATGGAAATTTAGTGAATTGTCCTTCAATATCAGAGGAAGAAAGATCACAACTACAGGCCAAATTTGAGGAGCAGGAAGTTTATAAATTGCTTGAAGTTATGTGCCATTGATAAAGCCCCAGGACCTGATGGTTACACTATGGGTTTTTCATCAAATGTTGGGAAATTGTTAAGCAGGACATCATGGAGGCCTTCCATAATTTCTATGAGCAGGAAATGTTTGAGAAGAGTTTCAATGCCACCTATATTGCCTTGATCCCAAAGAAGAAAGGAGCAAAGGAACTTAAAGACTTCAGACCAATAATCTTGATAGGCAGTTTCTCTAAGTTGTTGTTTAAAGTTTTAACAGAAAGAATCAAAAGGGTGATGTACAAGCTGGTAGACTCCCAACAGATGGCTTTCATCAAAGGAAGACAAATCACGGATGCGGTGTTAATAGCAAATGAAGCAATAGACTCTAGTGTGGGTCAAAAGAAACCAGGCATCCTATGCAAACTGGGCATTGAGAAAGCTTATGATCATGTTAACTGGGGTTCCTTCTCAATATACTCAGGAAAATGGGATTTGGAGAAAAGTGAATTAGATGGATACATTTTTGCATCTCAACAGTAAAGTTTCTGTCCTCATTAATGGTGCTCCTGAAGGTTTTTTTGAAGCCCAAAGAGGAATCAGACAAGGGGATCCTTTATCTCCATTCCTCTTTATTCTTGCCATGGAGGGACTTAACAACATGATCAAGACAGCTAAAACAAATAGGTGGATCACAGGATTTGAAGTGTCTACAAACAATGAGAGGAGTTTGGAGGTAACACATCTCCAATATGCAGATGACACTTTGATTTTTGTGATGCAGATGAGGAACAACTAAGATACCTTAGGGTCATTCTGGTGCTTTTTGAAGGTATGTCAGGTCTTCACATCAACTGGGGAAAGAGCCATTTATATCCCATAAACTTGGTCTCTAATATGGAGCTTTTGGCCTCAGTGATGGGAGGCGAGGTGGGAGCACTACCTGCTATCTACCTGGGGATGCCATTGGGAGCAAAATCACAGTCCAAAGAAATTTGGAATACTGTCTTGGAGAAATGTGAGAAGAAGTTGGTCAGATGGAAAGCACAATATTTATCAAAGGGGGGCAGGCTCACTTTGATAAATGCAGTCTTGGATGCCCTTCCTATTTACATGCTAACTTTGTTCCCAATACCTGCAGGAGTAGTACAGAGATTGGATAAACTAAGAAGGGATTTTTTCTGCCAAGGAAACAAGAAAAGAAAGGGATACCATCTGGAAAAATGGAAAGTTATGATCACGGGAAAAAAACAAGGAGGATTAGGCATCAAAAATTTGAAGAACCAAAGCAAGGATCTAAAGCTGAAATGGTTGTGGAGATATGCTCATGAACCACACTCAATGTGGAGTAAGGTGATTAAACTGAAGTAAGGAGAGATCGATTCATGGGTCACCAAGGAAGCAACCAATCCCTATGGTGTTACTGTTTGGAGATCAATTAGGAACTGGTGGCCTTTCCTAAGGAATCATACTACTATAACAGTACACAATGGTATCAGGACACAATTCTGGAAAGATAGATGGCTTGGTAATCAAAATTTGTCAGAGATCTTCCCTGACATCTTGGTAATCAATCTCAGAGGCATTCAATGGACAATGCCTAGCAAGATTGTTGACACTCTCTCAAGTTGGGAGGAAGCAGGAATTGAGGCAAAGAACAGAAGTTATTGGAGGACAATTCCAGCATGCATCTGGTGGACCATTTGGAGAGAAAGGAATGCTAGAAGCTTTGAGGATAGAAGCAGATCCCTACAAATGATCAAAACAGATTGTATTCTGTTATTATGTTTTTGGTGTACAAAGTGTTCCCCTGTAGATGCAGAAGCAATCCTAGAAGTATTAGAATCATGCTAGGCTTGCTGTTTTTGTTCCTACATTTTCATGCGTTTTTGTAAAGGGGCTTTCAGTACTACATAAGTACTGGTTTATAATACAAATCGTTACCTTCTCAAAAAAAAAGTTGAGTATTACTTGGAATAAACAGCTTTTAGAATCATCACAATATTAAATGAAATAAAAACACTTTAGTTGAAGTTAAGCTTTTGCATGTCTTCTAACTATAGTCTGTATAGAAAAGGTAATACCCTTAAAAGTATGATTAAACATGGATACCTACGAATACCTTTACCTCATCATCTTCTGCAATTTCTATCCCACTGTAGTTGAGATACAGAAAAAATGCATAAAGTAGATAACTATACTAAAGAGGGTTCATTTCAGCAGTGTGATTTTACATCCTCTATACAATTGCTTCAATCTGCTCAACCTCTGTGCAAACTTCCGAATTACAGGTTGCCAAAATTTTATATCTCTAATCTTGGGCTCAAGTGGCATCCCAATTATTTTATCGGTCAAACTTGCACCCGCAAAAATCTGCCAACTTCTAGAGGTCATGTATCGCCAACTAGTAATAGTATGGCTCTTTCGCATGTTAATGCGCAGCTTCCTACTGCCTTGGACCAAACAAATGTTCTAAAATGGTGTCAGATCTGTCTAACCTATGACAAGGAGGTTTAATCTAGTGGTAGAACACCCCAAATACGACAAAGAAATTAGGGATTCAAGTCACAAAGGGAAAGACAAGTGAGGAACCAAAATCCTCTTGAAGAGAGGGAGAGTGGGTGGTTGAGGAGTGGGGAGATGGAGTGTGGGTGGGAGGATAGGGTAGTGAAAAGAATTATCTCGCTTGTGGCTCATGTAATTTATATGCGCCACCTACAAACCATAGGCATAATAGACGTGCACTCTCATAAATTGTCATGGAATTATATGCACAGAATTTAGAAGCTTAACCTATTAGAAAAGAGAATTTTATTTATTTATATGTACAACAAATTTCGTCACGTGCTATTCTGATTCTTTTTTCTTGGGTCAAGTAATAAGAAAATTTGTGTTGATGGTAGGTGGTGAAACTTGAATTCAGAACCTCTACCTGCTCTTGTACTATATTAAATTAGATAAAAGTTAAGTTGTTTGAATGAAGAGGTATAAAGACTAAACAAAGTAAATATCAAGTGTTGAGGAATGGAGGAGAATGATAATTGGATTTATCAAAATTTCCAAGCTTTAATAATTTTTGGGAGTCACTTAAAAGGAAATGAAAATAGGTCAGAGTTATTGATAAACATAGAACAAGAGGAAGGGTGTCAAATGGTGACAAAAGAGAAAGACAAAAGGAGTATAGAATGTGAATACGAGGGTATTACAAGAAAGGAGAGGAGAATGACAGAAGAGTTCTTAGTGTTCATGCTTATTGAGTTTCCAAGTGATCTTGACTCGGTATGAGACAGATTTTGTCTTAGCACAATTTCCTACCGCGTATGAGGTGTCCTCCAGGTTGTTACATCTCACCCCTCATCGTCACACTGTAGTCCCCTCACTGTCAGTTGATTAGCATCTCAAAACTATTGAGAATTGAAATGGAGGTCGATGACATAGTTATCGCTGGCATGAATCAAGAGGCCATTGATAGTTTGAAATGACATCTCAGCATTTTCATACCAAGGACCTAGGTAAATTAGGTATTGAGGTCGCACAATCCAAGTCAGACATTATCATTTGAAGCGAAAGTATGCTCTCGACATACTTAAAGAGATGTGCAACAACAAATTGTCGACCTATCAATACACCTATGAATCTGAATGTTCAAGTTTCTGCCAGGTCTGGGAGCCTTTCAGCAATCTCGAGAGATACAGGATATTAGATGGAAAACTAAATTATCTCATTGTAACACGCCTAATATCTCCTTTTCAATCAGTGTTGTTAGTCAATCTATAGATTCTCCATGTGAAGCTCATAGGATGCAGTAGTCTGTATTCTTCAGTATATTAAATCTTTTAACTATATTAAATCTGCTCTAGGAAAAGGACTACTGAACGAGGATCAAGGACATGCGAACATTGTTGGGCATACAAATGTTGATTGTGTTCTAGCTAGAGGGTTCAGCAATTTAATACCCTAGAAGAGCAAGAAACAAAGTGTGGTTGCAAGATCAAGTACCGAAGCTGAATATACAGCTATGGTAGTTGCGACTTGTGAACTAATATGGATCAAACATCTATTGAAAGAACTAATCTGAAACTACTCCGACACTGATAGCCTTGTATCCCAATGTTGGAATGGAAAACAGCTGGTGTCTCAACTTTAGAAGACCATGTTTTGATTGGTAAATTCCAAGAATGGCTCTCTTGCTACAAGATCTGGACCAGTTGGCTTTATTTACTGATGAAGCAGCTCAATTCTTCTAGCTGAGGCAACAGAATTGTGTTTTTTTCAATAGGCTCTTGCTACAGTGATTAAACAAGGTGCTGGAAAGTACTCGCTACTAGCCTTGGATGTTATGGAAAACAAAAGCTCATCGGCAGATAGCCTTTTTTATGTGGCTGTTAGCTCATGATGCCGGTCTGACACAAAGCAATTGACAGAGAGGGGGAATGAGCATTTGCAGCAGATGCTACTTATGCAACAAGGAGGACAAGTTCAGCAGACATCTCTTTTTCGCATTGCACAGTGGCAACGCAGCTATGAACCTGTTTTTCGATCTTTTCAACTTGTCTTTTGTCATATCTTTCACTGTGAAAGAACTGTTGACTGTTTAGTGCAAAAGTGGGATAAGGAGAACAGCAAGAAGCCTGTGGGTTACACAGTACCAGCTTGTATCTGTTGGGTTTTGTGGACCAAACGAAATGCTAGGTGTTTTGAAGGGGAAGTTGTCTCTGCACAAAATTCTTTGGTTTCTGGCTTTCTGGCGTAACCTACAGGATATGTGAAGGATAAAAACAGTATGTTAAATTTCATCAATTCACTACAGGGATTGATTATTGTATAGAACTATAGATTGGTGCCCTCTTTTTGTATATATATATTCAAAATGCAGATGTAATCTTGATTAATTTGTCAGATAGCAGTATTAGTAACACAAATTATCATGCCAGCTTATATAAAATCCTAAAACTAACACAACAAATCCTAGTATCATTAATGCACAGAGAACACATGAGGGTTTTTATTTAAAACTTCCTAGAGTGCATAAGAATTAAAAAAGGAGTTAGGTGAAGGTGAAATCTAGGAATAACAAAAAATTATCTCAGAAATTGTAACAGGGGAAGGAAATAAAAGTACATACCTTTGCCAAAAAAGTGCCAAATTCATCCAACTTTTTCTTCAATGGCGTCACCTCCTGCACCAATAAGACAGCAAATCACTGTTACACCAAAATAAAGGGTGTTGTTAGTATGGGTCAACATTTAAAGCTCACATCTTCAGTCATTAACATAGAATCACGTATACTGCCCATTGCAGTATTAGATCCAACCCCAATAACAACAGCTCTTGCCCTTCCAGCGACTACTGTAGTGCCCTGGCAATCGAAACAGAAATTTGACTTATTGCCATTGTTTGAAGACTGTTGTATGCAGCTATGACAAAAATAACAAACTCAAAACAACTTTCTGGTGAAAGTAAGAAATATGAATATAACCAAAGAAATGTCTTTGAAACTATAACCAGAAGATAATTTAGTCATCTTTATTCAGTTCTGCAGGTGCTAGAACCTGACATCTATTATTGGTTAACTTTATTTTATACCAAATAGTAGTTCTTTACGAGGGACTAAGGGAGTGAAGGTTAACTGATCAATTTTCAATCTATCATCCAGATCTTTTTTTAATGGTACAGTCTACAACAACATACCCAGGGTCCCACAAGTGGGGTCTAGAGAAGGTGATGTGTACCTTATTGCTATCTTGTGAAGGTAGAGACGGTGTTTCCAATATATCCTCGGCTTAAGTGAAACATTTTAAAGCAAGTATGAAAAGGGAATACATTAGTGCAGAAGCCACGATTAAAATAATGGAGAAAAAACACTAGCAACAGCAAATAGGACGATAATCGAAGCAAAAACAATAACTATTAATAAAAAGAGAAGATTACAGCCCAATACCTTTTAGCCACTTTACAAAATATGTACACAGTGTATAGATTATATTTAATACTAATATACATATACATGTAATATATATACCTACACATTCACCTACAGATACACATACACATACAATCTATAAATTCCTATACATATAATAAACAAATTTATACATATAATATACATATGTATACACAGCATATGCACACCATATACAACCGAGTGTATATGTAGTGTACACTTCGGCTATGTTTGGTAAACTAGATGGCGGAATGGTATATATTGATAACTATCCTAATAAAAAAACAAATTATAAGATAACAGGACAGTAATAATAAAAATACTAATAAGAAAAACTAGACAATGCTCGACTACCTACTAGCATTCTACCCTAATTCTCGGCCTCTATTTCCTCCTATCTCGGGTCATGACCTCAATTAGCTAGAGGAGTGTCATGTCTTGTCTAATAATCTCATATCAATACTTCTTTGTCCTACTTCTAACTCTCCTCAAACCCACCATGGTCAATCTCTTACACCTCTTCACTGGGGCAGCTGAGCATCTCCTCCCCATATGTCTGAACTATCTCAGTCTCGCTTCCCTATTTTGTCCACCACGGAGGTCACTCCCACCTTGCCCTGAATATTCTCATTGTTAATCATATCTCTCCTGGTATCCCCACACATCCATCTCAACGTCCTCATTTCCGTTACTTTCATCTTTTCGACGTGCAAGTTCTTGACTAAGCGACACTTCATCCCATACAACATAATTGATCTAACAACTTCTACATAAAACTTACATTTAAGTCTTGATGCACATTCTCATCACACAAAACACGGGATGCAAGCCTCCATTTCATCCATCCTGCTCCAATACAATATATAACATAATTGTCAATCTTCCTAAATCCTAATTCCTTAGATTATTGACCCAAGGTGCTTGAAGTTTTCTCTCTTACAGATGGATTTTTTATTGATTTCCACTTCCACACCTACCTCTTGAGTCATGTCACTAAACTTGCACTCTATGTACTCTGTCTTAGTTTGTCTCAACCCCCTTTAAACTCCGGGGTCTGTCTCCAAACCTCCACCTTATCATTAACTTCGCCACATGTCTCATCAATTAATATTATGTCATCTTGCAAATAACATACACCATGGCATCTCCCCTTAGATAAGTCGTGTCAATCATCTAAATAGTTCAGATACTAGACCATCCAAGTGCATATATTTTCATTAAGATTTAAGGCACTTAATGGGTCTGAATAGATCTTAATCATTTAGATCTAGAACAGAGTCTTAATACCATTAAGAGGTATTCTTGTGTGGATAATATTCACCATCACTCTATTCACAATCACCAGCCACCACCACTAACCACCTCTGTCATCACAACCACCACCACCACTAGGACTGAAAATGAGCCCAAATATAGGTAATCCGCCCAACCCACACAATACTTTATGGGTTGGGCTTAGAATAATTTAAGTTGGATCAATCTCAACTCATTAAAGTCTTCACCCATTTTAAAAGGATCTTCAATTTAGCCCAATTTAATCTCTAATTCAACCCATTTTAATACTCTTTATTTGCATTGAATGAGTCATCTTAATATATGTGTATTTGGTTGGTATAATGTTTTGTGACTTTCCACTTCAAAATTAAGAACTTATTTTTTTTTCTTGGGTTGGAATTCAAATTGTGGTTATAAAATGTAAATAGCAAATTTTAAAATCAATGAGATTAAGAGGGTCAAATTGGGCGGGTCATGACCTAACCCGATTTTTAGCCCATTTGAACCCAACCCTTTTAAACCCAAAGTAAATTTGGTTGGGTCATAACCCAACCCAATTTCTAATTCAGTCCACTTTAATTTCTCCAATTTCAGCTCAATTCGCCCATTTGACACCCCTAACCACCACCATTGTCAACCACCATTACCGTCGTCAATCACCAACCACATCTACCATCACAACCACCATCATCACTAACCACTATTGTCAGCTACTACCACACTTTACCTCCTTCATCCTTATAATTATATCCATTGTTGCCACCACCACCCCCGTCTCTATAGCCGCCACTACCTCCACCACTACTATCAACCACCTCCCACCACTAGAGTCAATTCCTACTACCAACAAACTCCGCCATCATAACTAGCACCATTGCCAACTACCACCATACAATCTTCGATCACCACCACCACCGCCATCACCTCCACCACTACTATTAGCCACTACCCCCATTATGGTCGATCTTTACTACCAACCACCTCCATCATCATAACTAGCATCACATCATCAACCACCACACATTTTCAGCAACCACCAACTACTAACATCAACCAACTTCAGTATTACAACCACTAACACCACTACAAATCGTCACCATTACGACAGTCACTACAACACCAACCACCTCCATCATCACAACTATCACTACCATCATTATTAGAAGATTAACAACTACTATTACCATCACCACCAACACTACAAACTATCTCCCCCATCTCTAGCAAACATAAGTGTTTTATTTCTTTTATCAAATAATGATTTTATTTATTAATTTTTATTTGAATTATATAATTATTATGTACATATAAATAAATTATGTATATTCAGATATTGAAAAACAAACAGTCTTAACCATTCCGTGTTCAAATCTAGAGACAACATCTTAATCATTCAGATGTGCATTCAGAGCAGACGTCTAAATCTTAATGAAAACAAAAAATGCCTCAACCCTTCTTGCTGACCTTATACTGCTCCACCAATCTCCATAAGAAATGACTGGCTTCCATAGTTGATCGCTCTGACATGAAACTAAATTAGTTCTCGGAAAGACACCCTTCCCCATCCTCATATCCACCACCCTCTCCCAAACTCTCACAATGTGGCTTGGCAGCTTGATACCCCTATAGTTGAAGCAATTCTGAAATCACCCTTGTTCTTGTATAAGGGGATCACTTCATTCTTCAGGCATTTTTGTTGTCTTAAAAATGACATTAAACAACCTAGTTATTGCTCCATACTTGCTTGCGATCTTCCAAAGTTCCACTGGGATCTCGTCTGGTTTGGTCTCCCTCTCCCCTTCTCATCTTATGAATAGCGTCCTTAACCACCTCAAAATTTAAACCTCTATTGTATCCAAAATCTCGTCAACTCTCAAAGTTCTCTAAAACACTTGGATCATATTAGCGCATAGTCAGAGTCTTCCCTGCGTGCCTAACATCCACTCCTTCTAGTATTTTTGTTCCCCTCTTCATTCAAGAGTTTATGTAAGTATGTCTGCCATCTTTGTATAGTGTATACCTTTTCCACCAATACTTTTCCTTCCTCGTCTTTGATGCACTTCACTTGGTCATCCAATCTATCATCCAGACTTGAGCTTCTTCTTTTTTTTAAATAAATATTACAAATTTAGAATTTACTCCATTTGAAATTAACAATGATTTAGAAAAAATAATAATAATTACAAAAACTTCAGGAAAAAAAGAAGTCACAAGTGGGAAGAAGAGAGTAGTTAATACCACAAAACCTATAAATGGTGAGACGTGGAAGAGCTTGTGACAAGTGAAGAAGATGCAAAAATACCATGCACAAGCAAGTTATCAATAATACCCATTACTTCCTAGAAAAAGACGTCATCAGAATGCTAAAGTCATCGTATATAAGCATGTTTTTCAGGGTCTCTATATCGACAAGAGTTTTTGTCCTTTTGACATGTCTCATAAGTAAAAAGGTAAATCTCAGCATCCATTCAGCATCCCACAAATTCAAGGATGTACTTCAACCTAGAGAATGTTCAGTCTCAAATGCCCATTTTTTAATTTTTATATAATTAGGTTAACATTTATCAAGGCTACTGAATAAACCAAGCGACAGTATTATCATCTCCCATACTACATTGTCAAACACATCAGCATGATGGACCTTTTAAGAAAAATTTATGCTCCAAGCTCGGTTTATATAGTATTCTCCACAGAACTGGTTTTAATAACTTACAGAAAAGAGGATGCTTGTCTTATCCTGGTATACTGCATTTGTAGCAGTCGTTGCATCAAGCTCTTTTTCCACAGAGCAGCTCTCACCTGTCATCAGAACAAAAAGAAGATGGCATAAAATAGGAACGAAAGGCAGCGAAAGCAACTAAAGAGCCTACAATGAATTCTATATACACAATCAAAAGCAGCAAATGAAAAAAGGTACACTGATTGGCAGAACTGATTCAATTTTACTTTCCATGCAATCTCATTGTATCAGTGAAACATTGTAGTTGGAGCATATAAAACTTGAAGCACCATATAATAGGCAGATACAAGTATAACACCTGCTAAGAACTCCGAATATTTCAAGAAAAGGTTTGCATATTGGCATTATAATAGTTTCTGTATTAGTAATTACTATCCCAAAGTTAGTAACCCATCCATCATTTGTAAAGTAACACAAATCTAATCTCATGTCCCGTAATTAGTATTTCTATTTTTCTAACACCTAATAATTGATAACTTATCAAACTGATAACTTACAAGAAACATCGTGTACAGCTTTCATTCTTTAGTTATGATTTCCTTAATTTGATATTAACAGCTATTAACTTACTTAAGATTTAAGATTGTTATTTTCATCAAACAAGGATTTATGACTGTTATTATCAATAACATCAAATGATTACTTTTTTTATTTTTTGATAACCGAGAAATCCGTCTATGACCCGCCCTTTGGACCAATCATAGACTTCTAAACTCGGTGGATAATGGGCCCGCCTCTCTACCCCTCTCCACTTAAATACCGGGCTTCGCTTTGCATGGTGTGGGGCTTGAACCTGTGACCTAAGCCACAAATCCTCCACCTTTTTCCACTCGAGCTAAGCCTTGGGGGCCAAATGATTACTTATTTTGATCACTTCAATGTTAATTTTTGTAGCATAAGGTCTTAGAAACATACTACTCCTATAAAATATAAGTTGTTTGTGATGAAAATATCATTGATCATCTTCTTTTATTTAAGATGGTACATTTGGAAATATTATAATAGACAATTAAACATAACTCTAACCTCCCAAAATTATTATTGTTAAAGAGTTCACTGCATTCACATTATTTATGAATTCTTTTAACTCATGCTGTGCATTCTCAACAAAACAAATGGCAATGGAAGGTCAAATTGCATAATCTGTTAGGCAATTAAAGGACATTATCATCTGTAAGGCCAAGTGCACCTGTTAAAATTGCCTGATCAACACGTAAGTGATCGCTCAATATCTCGATCATTCTCATATCAGCTGGAATTTTACACCCAACTTCACATTTCATGGAAAGGTCACAAAGAAAAGATTAGTGCAAAATAAAAAAAGGATGAGTATGAAATCTGCTACAATTTCCAGTTGATTTAATTAAAAGACTCAACATACCACTCACTTCTACAATATCTCCAGGGACAAGGTCTGCTGCAGGTAATATCGAGAAACAACCTGATAGATCAAATTTCACATGATAGTTGAGCCGATATGTTGAAAATGTTAATCAACCAAGGACAAGAAAAAGAAATGACTGAACGTGATATGTAAAAGCTCTCAAGATTTTGTTTAGCAGCAGGTAAAGGTATTTCACAATTTCAAGCCTCAATGTACTGGATTGAAGGATGATGTGCAGATTTCATATGGAGATCAGAAGTCCAGCTAATGACAAACCAAGTCTGGCTAGCCCAACATGGAGTTGCAAAGCAAGGCTACAGTGTAGTCATAATGACATAGAGCTGGTGCTGATTTTTCATTTTCCTTTTTTCTTTTCTTTTTTTTCTTTTTGGCAATGATCTCATTTTCCCTTAGGACCTTCTGTTCTATGTTCTAATATACTTTGACTCGGAACGCCCACCAATGACAGGCCGTCTATCTAAAATCCTCTTCTCCATTTCTCCAAAGAAGAACAGTTATTTGAGCTTGCAGCCTCGTCCTTGACATACATATACATACTAAAGAGACTGTACAGAGCTTTGGATAGCCTACACAAGTAACGCATTAGCACATCTCTATACTGTTACCCACAAGGAGGTCAAAATGTGGATTTTCACCTAATTAAGAGATTCACAATCATGACTATTTATATGCAACAAAAAAAGGACTTTGTCGCACATGCTTCAATAAAACAAAGATCATAACACCAAAATATGAAGCACATTCAGGATGCAGGTAATCAAGCACCACTTGAATTGTTTTAAACAATACAATCTTGTCTTACGTAAATGAGGTTTACACAAACTAAGACTAAAAAATATATAAGCCAGAAGAAAGAGACACATTGAACATGATCAGAATCATATTAGACGTTTAAAAGACTACCCATAAGCACTAATGAAAAAAAACAGCTTTCAACAATTGAAAAGGGGATTCAAAAGTAGGAAGAACTCAAATTACCATTGCGCAGGACAGTAGCAACGTCAGCTTGGTATGCACGTAGCTCCTACAATTAGGAAACAACTCTGTGAGTCAAAATTTTCAAGCATAGGTGATGAACACGACAGATCATAACTAAAAAAAAATTGATTCACCTTATGAATATCAACATTTTCCTCCATGTAACATAGATAGTCACAATGCCAAATACTAACGAAGAAAGATATACCATGACAGTAGAGGTGGAAAAAAACCCATCCGAACTAAAATAGGCTGGCTATCAATAAAAGATCTGGTAGATCAGAATGGGCTGACCCAAAATGACCAGTCAAATAGATTTGATCAGGATTGGATTCAGACCATGTAACCAGGCAGATTGAAATTCAACCCAACCCATGAGTCATTTTCTGCTATGTCATTCCTCTTCCAGATTTCTCAACCAGACTCTTCTGTTTTGCCTTCCTATTTATTTCTGCTGTTCCAGGAAGCTTGTGCACTCTGTTCTATCTTTATCTATCCTTTTTTTAAACTTTATATCGATTGTTCCATTTTCTCGTTCTTATTTTTGTCTAACCCAATCTTTTTATATTTGAAAATATTTCATCTATTATAAAAAAGAATGGTGTTTGATATTATAACTTAACAGAATATTCCAAATTTCCAATCAACAAATTATATTATCAAGAACTATTGAGGTGAAGCTAAACTAATATCATTGTTTTGTTTCAAATTATCTGCTATTGTAAATACGGCTCATTCTTCTTTGCTAAGAAATAAACATTTGTGGTCTAACTTAGAGTCAATCTTAGTTTGGAGCTCCATTGGTGTTTTCCGGTGGTTTAACTGCATAGTTTCGCCAACAAGTGGAGGTGATAATAATGGCCCATTGGTAATGTTTAGATGAAGAAGAGACTCTGGTACGTTGAAATGAAGAAGAAAGAACAAAAAAATGAATAAAAGAAGAAACAAAAACAAAGTAAAGAAAAAGTAGAAAGGTAAACAATAAAAGATTGTATTATGGCATCATGTGTAATTAGTGTATGATGTGCAATCTAAAAGTGACACCTGTTAATTAAATTTATTTTAAGCACCTTTTTGCCCTCACGATCTTCCAGAAAATTAAATATACTTGCTCTTCCATGTCATCGCCATAAAGTTGAGTGTAAATGACTTTTGCAACAAGTCCAAGGGAAACTTGTGTATTTTTTCCATTATAATACAATGTTAAGCACATGGAATAAAACAACAACATGCCCAGTGAAATCCCACAAAGTGAGATTAAGCACATAGAAGAAGTGTTTCTAAATTCATTTATACATCCTCTAGTGGGAAATGACCCGAAGAAGAAAATAAAGCCAGGATATACAAGAAAGGGGACACATGTGATCAAGAAGATAAGAACTCAACCTACTAAACAGAGACAGAAATCAAAAGAATAACCTGAAAATTAGGACGCTAGCACAGCAATGTCACTATTTCTACACTCAACTGAATATCATACCTCAAGAGCCTTTTCAGCATTTGTTTCTGTGATCACCCCGACCGCTGCATTTGCAGCCAATATCATCAAGATAACCTGTAAACATAACTTGTGATTATGGTAAAACAAGGAGGAATACATAAATGATATGAATTTTGTTCTTCAGCAGTACCACCAGAAGACTTTTCTTGGCACTTTGTAGCATACTTTCTTTCAATAAATATGGAGATCATGTTCACTGTATTATAATGAATTATTACTTCAGAATTATTTTTGCCAAGCCGGCTCTTCCTATTCATATTTTTCCGTGCTGCTATTATATAATCAAAACATGACCAATTCATACTACAAGCAAAACAGTACATCAAGCGCTAAAATCACAAAGGAAACAATGATGAAAAAGTTTAGATTACAACGTTCATAAGTAGCTTATGTCTTATAATAGAGTAAGGGGTCAAAAATACCCCTCTAACCAACCCTCATTAAATACTCTGGCACTATAATAACTGTTCTGGATTGCCCTGTGACGGCAATAACTGAAATAAAGTGACCAAAGATGTAGAATTTCATGAAACAGAAAAGAGATGTAGACTTGTCTCTGCTTTTCCATGTCTGGTAGACTCTCCCCTAAACAAGGGAAGCCTTTCTGATTCTCCGAGATCCCCAGAAAAGAGCCTCAATGTGCAACCTTGAGCTCTCAACCCATTTGAACTATATTTCTCTTTTGGACAACGTCTCTGTGATGTCAAAAAACTCCCCCCCCCCCCCGGATCTAAAATAATTATGATCATCCTGGTAGATAAAAGGCTTTAAAGAAAAAAAAAATGAAAATGGCTTCTCCTGCAATCAAATACCACCAGAGAGGGGTAACCAGAAGTCCGTACTCCTTAAGGGACCCTAGCTGATCTCCTTGAGAAAACAAGGCCTGGGAGCAGAACTGAAAGTATTTTTTAGTAAGAGAGATATGTGGGTCATATTGTTATTTAATCATTACACATTTATGTTTGGTAAAAGAAAAATTCCCCCAAATTATACTCCCACTCCATCCCCTAATGGCAGTAAGAAAGAGAAGTCAAGTTTGCCTAATGGCAGTAAGAAAGAGAAGTCAAGTTTGCTTACCGAAGGTTCAATGAAGGCTGATAATACCGTTTCTCCATTAGCAAGTGCCAAAAAAAAGGAAATAAAAGCAGCTGCAATTAGAATCTTAACAAGCAAATCGTTAAATTGCTTCAGCACCAACTTCCAGAAAGGAGTGCCTGCAATAGATAATAATAATAATAATATTAATATTACGTATCAAAAGATAATTGTCCCAATTAATAAGCACAATGCTTAAAATTTATTCAACTGAATTGAATTGTTGAAACCAGCAATAGCTTGGTTCAGTCAATAAGTAATGGTGTGGGTCATGAAACACCAGGATTCAGCTGAAGCCCCTGGACCTAATAGATTCAGATAGGTATTCATATTTTACACATATGCTGGAACATGGAGAGAGGTTTGGCAACAATGTAAGAAGAGGAAGTTTGAAGAAGTCTAGGTGCTTCTTTTATTTCCCTGATCTCAAAGAAAAGTGGGTCTTTGGAATTACAGGTTTTTAGACCAATCAGCTTGTTAGTATGTATAAGAGACTGAAAGGGATGAATTATGCCCAGCTTCATTATTCACAGAATGCTTTATAGCAGGAAAGAAAATCTCCAATTAGGTTCCCATTGCAAATGAGTACCTAGACTAAACAAAGAGAAGGAAATCGAGGGATCATTTAGCAAACAGGACATTAATGAAGCCCTTTTATCCGAGCTCCATCATTCAAAAAATAATTTTAACAGGAGAGGCGAATCTCAAGTAAGTCCTTATTGCTAATTTGTGCCTAGATTGAACACAAAGAGGAGAAAATCGGGGAATCATTTAAAACAAGACAGAAAATCCCTACGACCCCATTAAGTTGGAATCTCCTCATCTCAGTTCTAGAGAAAATGAAGTGTGAAAGTAGAGAAAGAGGACTTAATGCACAAATGAAGTCCTCAGTCTTGTTACATGGCCAGGGTGGAGGCTTCTTTCAATCTTCTTGAGGCCTTGGACAAGATGATCCATTTTCACCCTTATTATAATTGTGATGGATAATCTTAGGCCTCATTTGTTTGCACTTAATGGAGGTCTAAATTTGAATGGTGACATTAGATTATTAACTGTGATTGTTTTTTCTACTTAAGAATCTCTTAATGGGTCAAAAAGGGTCAGAATGAATCAGATCTACAACAGAGTCTTAATCTCATTCAGATTCTTTTAAATACAGACTTCTATTAAAGTTCGTTCCATATATTTTCTTTTGCAAAAAATTCATGCCTCTCTTTCTCCAACCATCAACTATCCAAGCTCTTTCCCCTTATAATTTTAACAACATTTAATTCTTGATCGTATTGCTTGGTCATCAATAATTGATAAAAATTATTTGCAAAAATTAGTAAAAGATGATGAGAATTTTCTTTTAATAACTTCTAACAATTATTTTTGTTAATATAACTTTGTTATGTACAGAAGATAGTTTCACTTTATTTTTAAAAAATTTAAGATATATATTTATATCTTCGAAAATTTTAACTATTATTAAATAATAATTTTATTTTTTCTCAACTAATGTTTTTTTAATATTTTGTTGATATAATGTTTAACTACAATTTTATTTTAAGTATAGTATTTATTGTGTTTACATATTGATAAACTATTTATATTCAGAAGTTTAAAACAACCGGTCTTAATCATTCAGTGTTCAGATCTAAAAACAGGATCTTGATCATTTAGATGTGCATTTAGCTTCAGATGTTTTAATCTAAATAAAACAAATGAGGTCTTAGTAGAACTAAGGATGAAAGAATGGGGTGGATAACTAGCTTCACGGTAAGAAGGATCCATGACAGTAAGTGAGATTTCCAGCATCCACTTTGCAGATGACACATTGTTTTCGCGTGAATACAAGGATGATCAGATAAAAGATATTAGAGTAGTCTTATTGGCCTTTGAAGTAGCATGTTGATTGCATGTCAATTTTTGAAAAAAGTAGCTTTTCTTCTAGGAGGAACATCACAATATCGTGTGCAGTCAAGGCTCTTTTGAGGCTTGCTTAAGCCTTTTAACTAAGAAAAGCTCACCAAGGGTGCTTTGTGTCACTTAAGATGCACTTCAGTGTAGGCAGGGCAAACTAAGGCATGTGCCTCATTGCCCATGAGTTCTATCTTTGAATAAAGAGGCACTAACCAATAAAGATTGGTACATTATCAACATCAGGCATACCACTAGGAGCAAAGCATAAAAGTGAAGTGTAGGGTGTAGAGTGGTATAACTTTTGAAAGAATCTTAACCACCTGAAAGATGTGTTACCTATCCTCTAAGAATGACTGACTTAGATAAACATGGAGTTGAGTACCATCTCGGACCTGTTTATTTCTCACATAATTATACGGGACATTTTCTGGAATAGAAAGAAAGGAAAAGGGGAAAAGTGTGTCATGCAAAGTGGAAAAATCTGTGACCACGATAGGAAGGAGGAAGGGCATCGGACACCTAAAACACCACAATATAAAGTTGTCTTGGGAAGTGGGTATGGGGATTTTGCAATGGCAAAAGAAAAGCTTAATTGAAACTAAATGATCAGAATGAAAGGGAGTTACCCCCTAAACCAGCAAGGCAATAACCACATTTTGAGGAGTGAACCTATGGAAACACATGAATCAAAGACGGATTTAAAAAAATAAAAAATTAAGCCGAGGATGGGAGAAACTTTCCAAAATACATCTTTAAAGTAGGGGTAGCAACTTGCAAGAGAGATGGATTTTGATCTGATGTTTGGATTTTGGACACTTGTCACTCAAGAGAGATTTCTAGATCTATACAGATTTCAAGAGAATCCTGAGGCCATGATGGCTCAGAATTGTAAAAACAACCGAGCTCAGTGTAGCAACGTTAAGTTCAGAGGAAAATGCAATTATTAGGACTGGACAAGAAAAATAAATGCTTACTTTACTGCAAATCATTCTGCATTTTATCATCACCAAAATGAAATAATATAAAAGAGAAAGGTATGCATTGTATCATCATCAAATAAAATAATATTGTTATTTATTTGACTTTCTTGAATATTTGTGGTGCATACAGCATATAACATAATTGTGTAGACTGTAGAGTAATAACGAATATGGTTAATTCTTATCTTGTGTACCATATGCTCCTCTAGAAAAAGCTCTTGTAATACAATATCGGTCGAGCAAGAGCTTTCACTGTTTTTCCTATCTTTGTCACAAATGCTAATAAAACATGACTCCATCAGAAGTCCAGGCTTTTTACTATAGCAATAAAATAAAACACAAGAATAAAATCTCCTTAACTAAAGCGAAGCTGGCTTACTGATTATGCATGTCTATTTCTACCCTATTTTAGATGCAACCTAATTATATGTGTTTGATAGAGAGTGGGAGAGGGAAAGGAAAGAGAACTTACTTTTTTCTTGAGGCAACACTGAGAAAATTCATGAAACATGCAACCAAAGAGAAAATTGATCAGAGAAGACAAAATCAGGCAAATGACAAGCATATAGAGTAACACATAACAAAACACATGCATAATTATTTAAAAATTATGACATATTAATCTGATTCCAGTACTACTTTGTGTTGAAGATAAATCTTACCACAACAGATACCAATTAGAAAGAAAAAACATTTTTATTAGTATGAAATTAAAAAAAAAAATTATGGCGTCAGAGACGGAGAATAAAATTGAGTGATTCTTTAGGCGTATCACAGTGGCCTCTCCTCAAATAAACAACGCATCACCCTAGCCATTAGAACATTATTCTGTTCATGACAATCCAGTATCATAAGGCCGTGCAAAACATGTCCTCACAGTCTCAAAGAATACTGCTTAGTGGTCAACGAAGTAGACACAAAACATGGAACACCACTGTTCAAATCAAATATAGACAAAAACACTCTAAGCAATTACTTCCAATCTACCTAAAGTTTGATAACAGAATTATCCATACGATTGCAGGTAGGATTGCAGGCCCCAGGTGGAATAGTTGAGATGTAAGTTGATGCAGACACCATTGTTATCATACCAATTATAGTTGAGATGCAAGCTAATAGTATAACTATAACATTCTGTAGCTTCATAACTCTTGGGTCCACAAACTTGATTATATTCTCACAACCATACCGGTTATGACAACCAACATTTACTAGTTGCTCAATCAACTCATCAACTTCTATCCATTGTTAGCTAAAATTACAACACAATTGGAAGATAGCAGCTATCTAAGCATCATAACAACATTTGGAACCGAAATTTCTTGGACATAGGATGATCTCATAATCTTGCAAGAATTTTGGTAAAATTTACTAAACTAGAAGATCCTGACTCTATGAATCTTTTGTTCTTCTCAAAATAACCTGGCCAAAAGAAACCTCACCAACCTTAGGGACCAAAGATAGGAATGTCAACTCCCACTAGCCCAATGTACAGTGAAATTAAATCGTGTACATGCCTAAATTGTTCCGCTTACTGAATTTAAGGGCACAAAGTAGTCAACTTGCATGCATTTTTTTCCTGGTTTGTTCCTGTAACCTCAAACTTCTCAAAATTCATAAACAAATAGAGATACAAGATGGCAATACAACATGGAGCCTAGGCAATTAAGTTTGTGATATTATAGGTACTACAACTTATATTTTTTTATAGTATAATAAGCAAATATTTTCAAGATGCAGACATGCACATGAGCTATGTTGTTCAGTCATTTGAAAATATCACCGTCGTAAGAACATAACACATGAGAAGTAAGGGAAACAATGATTACCATTTTTGCCATATGAGTGTGCATGTTGTGTAACCTGGGAAACAAAAGAAAAAAAAGAATTAGGGGTATTGAATTGGATCCTTCCCAACTAGTTTGGCTACTGAAACTGCACCTGTAAATCCGTAAGACCTTTAGTTGGATCCACGGCAAAGAATTCAAGAACCTGGAAATGGAATTGCAGCATTGTCATACAAGGTATATTCTTGTTTAACCAGAAACGGAAGAATTTAGGATACCTCTGAAACAGATCGGGCGTAAGCGTCCTCCATTGAAGGAGGTCAGGTCAGGTCAGGTCAGTTTCTTCTGAAATTGAACAGTGTCTTTTGACTCTCAGTTGATGATCTTGTGCAACTGGTGCCTGCTGGGATGATCTTCGGCAACTCTAGTAAAGCGAGATCTGATAAAAGTTACTGCTTTCTTCGCAGGGAAAAATGAGGTAAGAATGCCTCACAAGTCTCCAATTAAAAAAAAAGGGACAAGTGGGGCCTCTTCATCTCTTCCTCAATTTAATTTAACTCTTAATTAATATATTGGACCAAATTAGTATTTTTAAAACTTAGGAGACTTTATTTTAAATTGTGAAGCATATTAAGAATGGAAAAAACCTTTTAACTTATTCAATTTTCTTTTTAAAACTGAAGTTACAGGGGAACGTTGGAATCCAAGAACGGGACTTTTTTTTTTCAAAAAAAAAAGTTTCTTCTTAATCTTCAAAATCATCAATTCTTCTTTGAGTTTGTTGTGTTTTTCTTTTCAATCAGTAGCTTCTAATACAAGGTAAATTTTCTTCTCTTTTCTATTTCAAAGGATAAGATTAGGGTTTAATAAAGAAGAAAATCATCATCATCTTGCTATTATATTTTTTTGTTTTTTTACATTATATTTATTCCGTTTGAACTTGAAATTAACTCAAAAGAGCATTTTTGATAAGTATAAAAAATATTTTGTCCATTCTTCAGCTGGGTTTAGTGAATTCAATTTAGTTGTTTCAGCCAACAACTTAAGTAGTTGTTTGGACAACTACTGAAGTTGTTTATAGAAATAACT